AATTAATATTAGGATTTGTTAACTTAATAATATTCCATGGACAATTCATTTTACCATATAACAAAAATAATAGGATAGACTATATCAAAAGAATTGTGAAGAGTAATTCGTCATTCCCTTCCTGGCAATCACATGAATATATATAAACTTCATGTCAAGATCTTTTTTCCTTTTTCTTTTTTCTTTAACACGGATTTTTTTTATAAGTGAGTTCGGGATAATATTCAAGTAAAATAATAACTTTAGGTTTTAAACCCTTGACCTTGGAACATTCAAGTTGATTTTGTTATTGAATTGCAATTACTTCCCAAAGCTACATTTAAAAATGAAAATGTATTGAAAATAATTAATATTTTAGAGATAACTGACAGAAAAAAGTAATTATAAATATTAATAAAAAATGAAAAGAATATAACTATTATACATTAGAGTTACAAAATTAAGATTAATCTGAATAAATAAATTTCTAGTGAATGTATTTAGTAAGTTGATTTTAGAAGTTTCTTCCCAAAAGTACCCTCTAGAGCCTTGAAAGAACCCATAAAAATGGAATAGAAACAAACATTTATAGCTGAAGTTTTGAAATAAATGAGAAGGAAGAGATGAACTCATTTGAAGCTAAGTAAGCAGTTGCAAATGTATGTCTGTAATTAAGTTGTTTGCATTTCAAAGTCCTATTCTGTTTACCTCTTATCTACTTGTTTCCTTGCTTTGCTTTTCAAGCCTTTGATTGTTTTATTCTGCTTGGATTAAAAAGCTGTCCTCTTTGACCTAATGTGTAAAAATTCTTATTTAAATACTACTTAGATTGCATATCATTTTTAATTGATTTCAATGGATGCCAAATTCAAGGATTTATACTTTTTTTTTGTTGAGTTATGGTGAAAAGAAAACTAAACCTAAAATAACTTAGTCTAGTGATTGAAGCAAACTAAGCCTCACTTTAACACATGCTCGAGTCGTGGTTGGCATCAAATTGAAAAAACTTTTAACATAATCGCTCTTTAGCCTGAGCAGAATTAACCTCTCATCCAACTACTTAAATGGTATATAACCCTAAATTGAATCATTTCATAAATTGCATAGATGTTTTTCAAAGAATGAGAAATTATTTTTATAGTTTTAGAACATAATGTTACCTATCTAATTCATATATATTTATGTTGGACAGATTATATTTCACAACATTATTGATAACAAATTAAGTTTGCTACGAGCACACTAAGGCATAACATAGTAATAAATGCATATGTGATCTGACAATAGATTCGGGTTCAAATCCCCTTCCTAATACTAAAAAAAAAAAAAGTTTACCAGGATAATTCTATAAATGGAATGCCTTACAATATGTATAATCATATAGAGATATGATATAAAAAAAAAAAAAATCACATGTTGGCATTAAAAAGATAAAAAGAATGTTGGCAAGTAATACCAAGACATGTATATGAGTCCGAACAGAAAGGTTTGCTATTTGGATTTTTAGGAAGGTTGAAAAATGTATGTATTGGGTTCACAAGAAACCACTAAAATAAACATTGGATGCTAAAATTTACATAATTAAATCATTAATTCCTAGCTGGGACTCGAGTCCCAAAGATCAAATTATTTCTAATTAATAGTCAAATGCAATAGTCCATGCACATATTATTTTATGTATAAATAAAACCAATCAAATTAAATCCATCAGTTTGATTTATTCAGTTTAATTTAATACAATTTTAAAAATCAAATTGACTTTAATTCAAAAATTAAATTAAAATTGAGAAATTAAATTAAATCCAATCAAATTAATTCAATTGAACTTAATCCAATTTACTATTCCATTTGATTCGGCTCAATTCAATTTTCTTTATAAAATGATTTTGTCCAATTAAACCAGAGGCGGTTATAGATGCTCTAATAAAATTCTATAAAAAAAAAAATCTCAAGAAATTTATGAAGATCGAAATAGGTCTCAAATGAGCGCTCTACTCCTATCAGAAATTATGATCGAGGATTATTGTTTTATTGAGTTTAGATTAATTCAATTTGTTTGAATAGAATGCTTACCATAATAAATAAACTAGTTTTGATTGTACAAAGCACATGGTGATAGATAAAGAAATGGTGAAAAAAAGTTGACCAATTAGCAAGAGGCACATACTTTACAAACAACAAAGTAGAAATGATAGTCATGGAGTGATTTGCTTCAATTGGAATGGGTTTTCTCTTCTTGTAATTTTGCAAATTATAAAATTCCTCTACAAAGGAATAGTAATATATGCATCTACCAAGTAACTCCAACACAAAACAAAACAAAACAAAATTCCCATGATAATTATATGTGGGGTTGCTCTTTCTTTCTACAAATCTAATGTCAATTTCATCTCTTCATCTTCATCATATTATATTATGTGCTTTCTGTCTCAGAGGACTTGGGGGTTTCCTTTCTGGGCCAAATTCCAACACCATAAAGACAATCAAATACCTATTCCCCTAACCTCTCTTCCTTTCCTTTGGTTGCCACCCAATTTACTTTTTTTTTTCAGGCAAACATTTTACATTTTTTCTGCCTTATGATTCAAAATTTAGGGTTAATTAGGGTCTATCTTAAATAACACATGAAGTGAGAATTAATTAGGGTTATTGACAATAAGATAAAATTTAATAAGGGTATAGTAGACAATTTAATGATTAACTATAATGCAAGAAAAGAAAGTGAATTATATTTTGAAATAAACCAAAAAGAAAAGATGCAGAGTTATCATCAAACGTTGAAGATAATAATAATAGATTTTTAAACAATAAATATAAATTAGAAAATTTAAAGAAATTCAAACCTTCTTTGGTTCAACTATTAGTGATTGGCAGTTCATTGTGGGGATATCAAAAGTTTAAATATTAATAACTTTAAATTTTAATTTTTTATTTATTGGAGGCCAACATCAAAAAATAATATTATAGGCTATATAGTAGGAGTAATTCTTCTATTGACTTGGACTTATCAAATTAATAAAAATTTTTATCAATATGAAATGAGGAACTTTCTAGGAGGTCACCCGTAATGAAATTTTTCTTAAAATGAACACGCTTAAGTCTAAAATTCTTCCAACAAAAGACACCTCTAATAACTAGTTTTCTCGTTTCAATGTATAATTCGATTCATTCTCCTATAAAAACTATAATTTAATTTTTAGTGTTTTCATTATTATTTTTCAATTTTTATAATATTTGAATTTTAAAACATTCATTGGACCCTCATTCATCGAACATGACTGAATGGCTAAACACTAGATTTAGTTATCAAGTGATAATTGAGATCAAGACCCACCTACCTACTCTTAGTTATTAAATAACTTTAAGAAAACTGTACCAAATAAAATCCTCTGAACAAAAATAAAGAGCACACAAAGCCATTTACAAAGACTAAAACAAACCCTAAAAAATGAAAAAGTCCTAACATTAGGGTACAGGCCCCTCTTCTCTAGGGTACCCTAATAAACGGTCCACTAGTAGCTTTGATATAGAGTAGATAAAAGAGTTAGAATGCATATAAATATATAATTATACCAAATATAAAGATGCATTTCTATGATTCTATCTATCTATTTCTCTCGGAAGTTAGTGAAAAATTTTCTCAACGGCACAGAGACAGAACCAATGTCTCGAAATATGCAAACAACAACAACAAAAACAAAAACAAAAACAATAACAACAAAATCTTCTTTAACTCCAAAACAATGTCCAAAAGCATTTAAAATAAGAGAGCAAAGCATCGGTTCCAGTTCTTATTTCTTGGCTCTTTTCCTTTGGCCCCTTCTTCCCTCTTCTCGATACCCCCACTCCCTCCCTCTTTTTCAAATCCACCAATACACTACCCCCCCCCCCCCTCTATCTAATTCTATTTCGTGCCTCGGAAGTTCAGTGAAAAATTTTCTCAAAACGGCACAGGAGACAGGAATCAACCAATGTCTGCCGAAATATGGCAAAACAACAACAACAAAACAAAAAAACAGAAAACCATACACACACGAATATCTTCTACTTTACTCCAAAACAATGTCCAAAAGCATTTAAAATGAAGTAGAGCAAAGCATCGTTCTGCTGCTGAGTCTTTTATTTCTTTGGCTCTTTCCTTTGCCCCTTCTTCCCTCCTCTCAGACTTAACCCCCAGCTCCGCCTCACCGACTATACGTATTTGTCCAACCATCCACCAATTACAACCCTTACCCCCCCCCCCCCCCTCTTAAGTCAAATTACCCTACGCACACTGTTCATTGATTCCCATCTTTAGGTCGATTTCCAGAAATTCCTCATTACCCAACGTCTAGAACTTGTTAATTAAAACACCCCCCCCCCCCCCCTCTTAAGTCAAATACCCTACGCAATGTTCATGATTCCATTTGGTTCGATTTCCAGAATTTATACCAACTAAACTAATAAACACCAATTTTTAAAAATAAATCCCACTCTAACTTTAAATTTTTAAAATTATAATCCCCCCCCCCCCCCCTCTTAAGTCAAATACCCTACGCAATGTTCATGATTCCATTTGGTTCGATTTCCAGAATTTATACCAACTAAACTAATAAACACCAATTTTTAAAAATAAATCCCACTCTAACTTTAAATTTTTAAAATTATAATTTTAACTCAATTTGAATAAATTTGAATCGATTTAGGCTCTAATATCAATAATTATTCATTTAGTATTTAATATTTATCGATTTGGTGTCTTAATAGTTATACTAATATTTAAAATTTAAAAGAGTGAAATATATGTAATAAAATTTAATACTAAAATTTTAATAACTTTTTCTAAAAAAATATAATTAACAATTACTAGAAAAACTAATTTTACAGTATAAATTTTTTATGATTCTATGTATGTAGTATATGTAGTACCCTTAAATCAATAATCAATAATTGATTTTTTAAAATGAAAACACAGGCCCACGTATACACAATAACACAGTAGCTTGATAGTTGATAAACTAACACTAGAGTGTATAAAAGCCAAACTACCATTTTTTTTTTCTCTCCTCTCAAACACTCTCCGTGTCTCCCTCTCTAAAACTCAATCCCAAACCCCAACCGATGCTCCCATACGTATCGTCGTCATCTCTCCATGAACAAAAGAGACGACACGCCTTCCCTATAAACGACCACGTCGACATTCTCATCGAAATCCTCAAACGACTCGACGGCCGCTCTCTCGGTGTCGCCGCTTGCGTTTGCCGTCTCTGGTGCACCATTGCCCGCAATGATTCTCTTTGGGAAGACCTCTGTTTCCGCCACGTTTCTTCTCCTCCTCCTTCTACTGTAAGACCTGTCGTCGTCGCTCTCGGCGGGTATAAGAAGCTTTACATGGTTTGCGTACGTCCTGTACTGAGTCGACTCGGCCGACGGTTGAGACTCGGTGACTCCGACCGGGTTAGAAGGATTTGGACTCGGGATGAGGTTCAGCTCTCGCTTTCTTTGTTTTGTGTTGATTATTATGAGAGGCTTGGCAATGGCAGACTCAGTGGTGATGCGTCCGCATCGTCGCTCATGTTCCTCTGCAAACCTGTAAACGTTTGATTTGTTTACCTTTTTTTTTTTTTTTTTTTTTTGACTTTTTTTTTTTTTTCTTTTTGACTTTTGATTTATTATGGTCAGGGCAAAAAATTAAGGAGCGACACTAATCTGTTCATAAATTTATTAAGGAAAATTACTATTTTCATAAGATTATTTTATTTGTTGAAATAACAGTTTCATGTTCTATTTTAAATAATGGAGATTTGTTCATTTTTCTTAAAATTGAAGAGGAAAAGGAAATGTGGTTTTACTCTGTTAGAGATAGCAGTGAAGAAATTCTTCTTATATTTTGCTATATTTATCGAAGATTTTATCCGTAATATTTTATCAGGATGTTTTCCATTTTGACATGATTGCCTAATAAAATGAAACTCATAGTTTATTTTTTTTTTTAAAAAAAAAAAAAGAAAGAAAAGAAAATACAAGGTTGATCTTATAATACAATTCATTAATTTTATTCTTCTGAAACATCATACTTTACAAGTCAAAGGTTGTTGATGCAATGGTGGCATCAAGTGGGCCTGCGGATCCTGCAATGGGCTTTAAATTTGTCAAGCCCGACCTAGCTCAAAAATATCTCATATTTATATATGAATATATAAATCTATAAATAATATATATTATTATCACGTTGAAAAAATTAATGATATAGTCTAATTTATAATGTAGCATTACAGCCTATAGGACATTTTGGTATTTTTTGTTTACAATTTTATTATTATTATTATATTTATTTGTATTAGTATTTATTATGAAAATGCCATCCTATCTCATAATCATTTTATGGTTGTCAGTGTCACTTGTCACATGAGTGATGGTCTACGCTAGGACATTAATTTAATGTTGCGTTTATTTTATTTTATTTTATTTTATTTTTTTTTGTTATAAAAGTAGAAATGGGTCTCAAAAGTGCATAATGGGGTTGGGTGGTCCAACTAAAAAAAAAAAAAAGAAAACCATTTAACTCATTTCGGACCGGCTATTTTTCAACCAACCCCAATCATACCTCAATTCTATTATACATTGTAGAAACTTCCTCTAGGGTTTATATCACAAAAATGTAAAGATAAAACAATTTAACAAAATAATGTTATTAATTTGATAAATATCATTCAAAGTGATGATTACAGCTTATAATGTTTTTTTAGTCTATTGCTCTTATATATAATTTATAAAATAAACGCATACACCTCTCTTTAATATCTATTTCAATTTTTAATTTCAATTAGAAAAAAAGAAAAAAATAATATCTATATTATTATGTCTTATTAAATTCCTCCTTTAAAGTTTTTTTTTTTTAATTTTTTTAAAGAGTTACTATATACATTCTTAAACTCATTTAGAGCAACAATAATTATATGATAACCACTAAATTAAGGCTTCATTGACTTCCTTTAAAGTTTAAACATAGTTAGGTCCATCTTGAAGTCCAATTTACTCAATTGGGCCAAAATTGTTATTCTATTTACTATTTGATTTGTCTCAACAATTAAGTTTTACACTCATTGTTTTTGTCATTTCAGCAAGATTACAAAATTGCGTACAGAAAAATTTTTGTTTATAAATTTTGATAAAATTAACTTTTTTTTTTTTTTTTAAAAAATTATCAGCAAGATTACAAATTGCCGTACAGAAAAATTTTTGTTTATAAAATTTTGATAAATTACTTTTTTATTTTTTTTTTTAGAAAAATTGAACTTTTTTTTTTTTTTTTAGAAAATTGAAAATGTATATAAATATGGAATACAGATCAATATGTTTCTATGTTTTATATAGGAAGCCTAATAATAAACTAATTATACAAAGAATAAAAAAAACACAATCTTAATTTGAAGTATTTGATCGAATTGACAGATCATAATATTTATATATGCCATAAGCAATTGTTTGCTCCACTTGGTAGCTATTTATGGTCACTGTTCGACTCCATAATCTTTCTACAAGTCTGATTTGATTATTTCCAAATTTCTTCCTTCTATTAGAGAGGAGATCTGTACTTCTTTCTACATAACTATCCAAATAATAAAAGACACTAAATAAAATCACAATAATAGTGATAACAATAACTCAGAATTAGATTTGAGGATAAATTCTCAATATATGAGCAGCAATAAATTTCAATGTATGCATATATAAGGATTATTCTCAAAAAATCAAACAAAAAAGGGAAATAGGTAACCACCGGTGAGAGCTCACTGATGACCATCCGTGGAAAAAAAGAAATGAGGTTTTAGATTTTCAGAGAAAGAGGAGGAGAGAGGGGAAGAGTTTTTTTATAAAATTAACTTAAATGTAATTTGATAACAAGAATAGATTTTTCAAGCTTGCTTAAAGCACTTATTCACTCATGTGTAATTCGTTTCATTTACAAACAATTTTTTAAAAAAATTTCATTTATAAATAAATTTTATATTTGGATAATAATAAAATTTATTCTAAATATTACTACATTAGACTTATAATTCATTAATTTTAATAACTTGTACTCTTTTTATATTTAGAATTCATCTGCAAATTCTTTAAATTTTGATAAATTTTGATTTAAACATAATAAATTCCACAAAATTAAACTACTCTGTGACTCGTCACTCAAATTCAAACATTGAACAAAGGAAGACTTGTTAATGTTGGGTTTTGCATTCTTTTGTGAAAGCCTAAGATGATAACTAGAAGTCTAGACTACAAGTTTAGGTTTGTTCCAACTAGTTTACAATTATCTTTAGCTAAATATTTATATGATTGAAAATAAATTACCAAAAATGTGTAGACTGGGCTTATGAGTAAAAATTTTATAATTTAATTTTTAAGGATAGATGTCCTAACTTTATAATGTAGGTGCCCTACAGTTCTAGGGTAGGAACCTTTATTATAGTCTAAATCAGGGCACTTGTCCATAGACCCTATGGTAGGAAGACATGCACGAACTTTGTTTTTTTTTTTTTTTTTTTTTTTTTTTTTTTTTTTTTTTTTTTTTTTTTTCTTTTTTTAGATTTTTTTTTTTTTTTTTTTTAATTTCTTCATATTTAGCCAAAAATCTGCAAATACCATAGGCAGTGTTACCCTTCCTTTTGTCTATAATTTCTTTTTTTTTTTTTTCTCCTTATCAAAGCTTGCAAACTATGAAAAAATCTAATTGTCATAAACCTATATTCCTATTTAGCAACAATTGATTAAGAAGTTGTCATAACTTCCTATATTGCCAAGACTTAATAATCTTTCTATTAATATAAAGCTTTTACAATTGATAAACGCCATTGATCACTCTAGAACATGGAAAAGATTTATTTACACTCGATGGATGAGTTTATTTATATGTCAAATCAATTACGAATAGTATTTTAGTTTAAACAAGAGTATTTCTGACTATACATTAAGAAAAAAATGAACAAAATAGTATTATTTTTTTTAATTTTTTTTTTATTGACTTGATATATAGAATCATTCATTACATATTTTGAATTCATTTATACCAAACGAATCACTAACATTTTTCTTTTTTAAGGTTATCTATTATTATGTGCACTCGAATGTCCCATTTGGTAATTAGGTCATGTTACTTGACTTGGTAAATCTATTATTACCGTTAAATGATTTAGTAGGTTGAATTTGCATTATAGCCATTATATTGTGGAACTGAAAATGGGTTTTGTAATAAATCAAGTAATGAGAATTCTTATATTCTCCCATTTGGTAATTCTTATATTCTTATATTCTAATATATGGTTTAGATTTTCATAAAATACCTTATGTCTTTATATTCTTCTTACTATCTATTTCAATAATTTAATTATTATTATTATTTTAGTCTTTTTTTTACAAATTTCTCATTTCATTATCCTTATCCCATCAACTAAGCACATGAATGTAATTTGAATTTCAATTCCATTATGCTTTTTTTTTTGTGAAAAATTGAAAATTCATTGATGAGTATAAGTTGAATACGTCATAATTTTTTCTTAAGAATAAGTAATATAAATATAGAAAATTGAAATTTTCTGTTTAAAGATGATCTTGGCAAAATCGGTTAATTTTCCGGGTAAAAATTGGCCAATTTATAAATAAGACGACAAAAAACTTTCTGCAATATCATTTCGGACATTATTTTTTCAAAAATTTTGTTACAATTGACATTCGCATGAGAGTTTAATATATCAAACTTTAATGAAAAAATACCCCGCACTACCACACTCTACTAATAAAAGAAATTTACCCAAACTTGAAGATATGAAGTCTCCAACCACAAACAACTAACAATCCATCTTGTATTTTCAACTACCGGAGATACAAAATATCTATATAAAAATTTCTGAATAACGAGGAACAACTCCATAAAAGGAAATAAATTAATGATCCTACTAATAGGTACCAAAATACTCAAGATTTATCAACTATTACAAATCTGAGAAACTAAATCAAAGTTTTATTCCAAACAATCACATATTTAGAAATTATTAAAAAGAAAATTAAATAAAAAAAACTATAGAAAGGGACGAAAATGAACTATCCCCGAGCAAAGGAGACAACCGAGAGAGATAGAGAGAGAGAGAGAGAGAGAGAGAGACTGGGTTAAAGAATGGCAAATTTTTTATACAATGCAAGTAATTATTGCATTGTGCATATTAAATGGCTAAATATATAAATATATCATTATACATTATAAAAAAAATTCTTATGGCATCTCAAATTTCATAAGACTTAAAAAAAAAAAAAAAAAAAAAAAAAAAAAAAAATTTCATAAGACTTAAAAAAAAAAAAAAAAAAAAAAAAAAAAAAAGAAAACCTCAAACTTTTGTTGAGCCGAGTAACTAAACGGATAAACAAGTCATGCTAGGAACATATTTTTAGATATGAAGACCCTAGAATAAATTATAGAAAGCTCTAAGCAACTCCAAGAAAATTGCAGCATATTCGTAAAAGGCTGCGAGCTGATTCCACCTTGCGAAGGAAAAAAAAAAAAAAAAAAAAAAAAAAAAAGAAAACCTCAAACTTTTGTTGAGCCGAGTAATAAACGGATAACAAGCATCTAGGAACATTATTTTAGATATGAGACCTAGAATAATTATAGAAAGCTCTAGCAACTCCAAGAAAATTGCAGCATTCGTAAAGGCTTGCGAGCTGATTCCACCTTGCGAAGCTAAGTCGAGCTGAATAGGGCCCCTTCGCACAATACACTGTCTAAGTCTGTGTCTCAATATGGCTGACCTTTCATCACCATCTTGAGTCCGATGCAACACTTGTCTTTGGAGTCTGTATGAGGCTTTTAGCATGACATATGATAAATCATGGATACCACTCCTCTTGCCGCCAAATAACTCCATTTCAAGCCTGCCATATTTTCCATATAATCGATAAAACATATGCTACTCGGGTAGCATCGAGTTCGTGAAGTACCTGCAGAAAAAATTATTTCATCGAAAATAAATTGAGTACCTTATCTAGTCCACTCTGTCTCTAAACCTCCCCACCATATTACACCGTAAAAAAAACATGATTTATCTCTTCATCCTCCGTGCACAAACAACACTGCTTTGCAATTCTCATAGCCCTCTCCACTAACTTAACTCTAGTAGGGATAACACCTTTCAACAGTCTCCACATGAACTCTCGCATCTTAGGGGGAATTATAAACGCCATAATCTTTTCCGCATGTCTCCCTCAAAACGCTCTCCTACCCTTCCTAGAATTCGCAAGCTAAAAAAGCACTCCGATCGCACCATGTAAATCCCCTTCCTCACAAAATGCTATATAACACAAGCTTCCTTTTGTCTCACTCGTAACAGAATATTCATTATAGCACGAATATCTCGGGTACTAAGATGCTCTATTATCCGATTTGCATTCCAATTCCCCCTTTCCCTATCTATAAGATCAGCAACTTGTAGATCCTATACTATAAGGCCATACCATCTTTCACAAAAAAAATTTCCATCGTGAGAGACTTATTGTATCCTTAAAATTATGAATATTAGTAACTTTGTACAATCTCCACAATGTTAATAATAATTTTTTGGTGATTTGACTTTTATATGAAAATATTGATTTGATGTGCGGTTATTATAAATTTTATAATAATAATTTTCACATTTTTTAATTAATCAAATTTTATAAGAAAGAAATGTTCGATAGAAAATTTTATAAGTTGGTGATTAATAGATGCAATTTTACAAGTTAAATTATTCAATACATCAAAGTAAAAATTAAGACCGCCATAAAACTTTCTATTCCATTCGTTACTTCATTCTAAAAATAGTCTTTAAATAGCAATTAGTTATAAAAAAGAAGCTATTCGGTGATAAAATATATTTGAATTCAACAATAATCTATAAAACTTAAGTCGTATTATTAAATCTTCTCTTTTAATATTAACAAAAGTAATCACAAATAACGAAAGTGTTTTTAATATTAATTCAAGTGTGGGCTAGTTTGATCTTTCTATCTCTTGCCGAATGTCATTCAAAGGAAAAAATTGCTTCCTGCTGTGTAGACTACAGCATTATTGAGGTCTATTAATATTAACCATATGAATTAATATTTTTAAATTCAAATTTCAAAATTCCATGAAAGTGTTCCCTTAAAAACAACATCATCATTTCTGTATATACAAAAATCATGCCTCAAAATTTTCTCTTACTATAGATTTGACAATATAAATCATGCCTCAAAACTATAAGAAAATATTTACTTGATAAAATTTAAAAATTGATTTATGTAGATATCTCGAAAATGCTAAAAATAATAAAACCACTCATTTATTGTTTTCTCAAAAGTAATAATAATTATATAAAAAAAAAACCCTGACTTCTAACTTCTGACAAACACTACCCAATCAAAATAAAAAATATATTAATTAATAACACAACTACAATTATTAAAAAATAAAAAATAGAAAGCCAAAATGGAAAAAGAAAATGAAATACGTAGAATACGCACCGTGGCGTACTATAGCAAGTTCCACCATTAAATAGTATTAACACCGTTTACTTGCACTGGAAATTATCATTTTTATTTATTAATTTTCCCTCAATTTTCTGATCGGCGATCGACAGGAGTGTCCCAAATCCTCGCCGCCGATTCCCCTACAATCCCTACCCGAACTATGACCCACATGACAACCCAAGACCCAATTCACTAATCATCCGCTTAGAAAACCCTAAATCTCTTTATCATTTTTGTACTTTGTTATCATCTATAAAAATAAGGAAGCAAAAAAAAGTAGTTTGTGGGTTGTTTGTGTTTGTGTGTGTGAGATAGTGTGTTTACAGTACAGTGATATTCACGAAATCAGGTCACTGTCTTGATTTCCTCGAGCTTACAAGTACACGTGGCGATCTGGGTCTTGCTTCACTTGCCATTTCACTGTTCAAATCTCAGCAAGTGAGTTCTTATCTCTCTCTCGTTTTGGGTTTTGGGAATTTTTGTTGTGGTTAGTTTAATTATTTGCAATTTAATTGTTACTGTACTAGTGTGCACTGTGATTTTTGTGTGGTGTGGGTTTAATTTTTAGTGGAGAATTTGGAATTAATTATCGAAAATCTAGGGTTTATTAAGCTTCGATCTATGTGCATTTCTTTTTGATGTTAAGTCAGTGAATTTTGAGGTTTTATTTGGGAATTTGAGCTGAATTTTAATCTCTTGGGTGTTAGTGATCTGAGATTTTGATTTTGTAGCTGTCTAATATTTTTTTTTCTTTTTTTTTTTTAAGAAAAAAATTTCACCCGGGTCTGGTTGGTTAGTGGGAAATTTGAGGAAAATGAGGAAATTGTAGAGATACCAAACTCTGGTAAATCACTCTTACATGGTTGATTTAGTTGATTTGCAGTATAGTTTTTAATTTTAATCAGCACAAAGGGAGGCATTTTAGATTTGAATTCGCAGTCTTCTCCCCCCTCTCTTTTCTTTACATTTCTCAGCAATCAATGAGAGCTCAGTTTGGTTATATTTCTTTTGATACTAGATTTAAATCCCAAGAAAATGGTTTCTATATGTGCTGTTGCCGGTACATTAGATTCATCCCATTGATGTATTTTGTTTGGTCAATTAAGAATTTACTTTGAATTAATTTTGAATGCTACTTCTGAAGCTTGATACCACAAGGATCTAAACATTCTGATAAAAATATTGCAGATAAGAAAATGCGGTTATGCGTGAGAATTGGGTATCTTGTGCTGTTATGCCTGCTGAGTTGGTCATAGCTTTTATATTGAGATATTGGCTTTCTTAGTGACTTTAATTTTTACATGGAAGTCAACGTAGAGGAGGCCCTTAGGGCAAAAGAGATTGCCGAGAAGCGATTTTTTGAAAAAGATTTTGCTGGTGCAAAGAACTATGCTTTAAAGGCAAAATCTTTGTGTCCTGGACTAGAGGGTATATCTCAGATGGTGGCCACATTTGAAGTTTACATCGCATCTGAGGTTAAATGCAATGGTGAAATTGATTATTATTCAGTTCTTGGACTGAAGCCTTCTGCTGACAGAGATGCAGTGAAAAAGCAGTACAGGAAGATGGCAGTGTTGCTTCACCCTGATAAGAATAAAACTGTGGGTGCTGATGGGGCATTTAAACTCGTATCTGAAGCATGGACCATGTTGTCAGATAGTCTTAAGAGGAGCTCTTATGATCTCAAGAGAAACAAACAGATGGCACCTTGTGTTGTGCAGACAAATTTATCTTCAGTGCATACTGCTGGGGTAACAGGATATAACAGTTGTTCCAATTCATCAACCTCTCATGGTCTGGATACCTTTTGGACTGTTTGTACTTCTTGTAAAGTTCAGTACGAGTATCTAAGGAAGTATGTGAATAAGAGACTTTCATGTAAGAACTGTCGAGGTACTTTCGTTGCTGTGGAAACAGGGACTGCTCCAGTGAATGGTTCTTTTCCTTACTGTCCCTGGTCATACGTTCCTGGTAGTGGGTATGGAAGTCATGGATATGATGGAGTTACCTATGTCCCAACCGCTACTACTGTATTTTCAGGAAATGGAGTCTCAGGATTACACACTGGACATGGCTATGAGTATGTTTCAAATGTGTCATTCCAGTGGAGCTCATTGTCTGGGACTTCCAGTGGAGTTGTGGGTCACAATGGATCATCTACTGTATTAACTGATGCTGTTTATCAGGCTAATGGAAATGCTACTGGAGCAAGAGCAAATTTCAAACCAGCAGCCAATGGAAAGCGGTCAATGAAAACTGCCATAGGTAATGTGAATTCAAATGTCTCTGCTAGCTACAATGAATCCTCAGCTCCAAAAGCTGGTAGACCGGATAAGAAAAGGAAGGTTGTCACTGGAACCACCTTTAGAAATGGGTATGAAGAAAAGGGATTGAAGCCTCCCTCGGAAGTTGGATTGGCTAATGGAAATGCCAGTGTCGAGCAGAACCCTAAGCTTTCGAGTACAAATGAACTTCCAAACAGGCGAATTTCAATTGCGCCTGCTTTTGATGCTAGGAAGTTGTTGATTGACAAGGCAAGGACTGATATCCGTAAGAAATTAGAAGATATGAGATCTGCTGCTGCTGCTGCTGCTGCCTCCGCCACTGCTGCTGCTGCTTCAGCTGCAGCAGTTAAAGAGAACAAACAAGTTCAATCAACAGAAGCAGGAGCGGCTCTGAATAATTCAGATGTTCCTGGCCATCAAATAAAGGCAACCATAATTGCACCGATCTCAATAACAGTGCCTGACCCTGATTTTCACGATTTTGACAAGGATAGATCGGAGGAATGCTTCAAACCAAAACAAATATGGGCTATATATGATGAAGATGATGGCATGCCTCGCCTGTACTGTTTGATCCGCCAGATTGTCTCAGTTAAACCCTTTAAGATTCTCATTACTTACTTGAACTCTAAAACTGATAGTGAATTTGGGCAAGTGAATTGGATAGATTGTGGGTTTACGAAATCTTGTGGACACTTCAGAGCATGGAATACTGATATTGTCGATCAAGTGAACATTTTCTCTCATCTATTGAAAGGGGAGAAAGCGGGCAGGGGTGGTTGTGTTCGGATATACCCAAAAAGTGGAGATATTTGGGCTGTTTATCGGAACTGGTCAGCTGATTGGGACAGATCAACTCCAGATGATGTTAGGCATCAGTATGAGATGGTAGAAGTTCTCGATGATTACTCCGAAGCTCTTGGAGTCTGTGTCGCTCCTCTCGTCAAGTTGGCAGGTTTCAAGACAGTATACCAGAGGAACACGAACAAAGATGCTATTAGATGGATTCCAAGGAGAGAGATGTTACGCTTTTCTCACCAGGTACCATCTTGGCCTCTTGAAGGCGAAACATGTACTTTGCCAGATAAGTGTTGGGATCTGGACCCTGCTGCAACTCCAGATGAGCTGCTTCATGCTGTAACAGAAGCAAAAGCTTAGGCTAAACAACCGGTCAAGCAGCAAAGCAACGGTGGTTTGGAGTTCGTTCCATTTATCATTCTTATAGAAAATTTTTAGGTTGACTGTACAATATTTCACACTTGGTTCAAGGCCAATGCAAACATTAACTTCATATGATTTTAGATAATTTGATGTTTACTGAGGAACGTTGTGTCTGGAATTCTGAGTCCAGTGACTGTTCAATGAGGCCGTTGTAACATTTACTGAGTAGTTACAACAACTGATTGCGAACGCAACAGATGACGAGAAAACTGTAATATTTGTATGATGGATGGGCCACTATTTAATGCCAAAGAATTGCAAGGCTCAGTGTAATTGAACTGCTAGCCTCCTGAATTTCTTGGTTCTCTCTCGTTTTTTAGGCTTCTGATTCCAGCAATACATGTCCCATCCCATCATATGAATTTGCATATGAATTTTGATTTTTTTTAGTTTGTTTATTTGAATTTTCATTTTTCTGTTTTTTTAAGAGCCTCTTGAGTCGAAGGATTAAGGGTTTAAATTCTGATAGTGTCTTCGCATTTTGATATTAAGAGAAACACGCATGACGCTGAAGACTAACACCCCTTTTTCTAAAAAGTTATTCATAAATGAAGCTAATCCATATATTGATGCGTTCGCAAGCGAAGATCTGGAAAGTATTGATATGAGTTGCACGATAGTAATTGATCCTGTTATGCCATGTAAAATCTGTTGCCTTAATTGGAGAATCTGCCTCATCTTCATATCCTAGTATTGATTGCAGAATCCATTTGATTAACAATATGCAGTGGAACTGTTATACCAATTTCAAGCTGCACCCTCTTGAGTTGTTTGGGCTGTTTAGTAACTCTAATGGATCTCATAGCCCAGCCTCATATTCAATTACTACTCTTCTGGTTCATTTAAAAACCTTATTACCAAGAGAGAGACCCATTTTTCTTCTTTGAAAAGACTACAACTAAATCTTTAACTGTATAAAACTAACAGGAAGAAGAGAAGAAGGAGAAAGTATTGCTTAGCATACAAGTGCCCTGCTTTGCTTGCTTGCTGCTTTTTAATAATATGATTACATGCTTGCTTCACTGTCACTGTTCTTTCTCATTTTAAAATAATTTTTTCACAATCATATTCTAACTTGAATTTTCATTTCCAGCAAAAACCTACCACAAAAAGATAAAGAGTCAATTTAAATCAAGGTGATTAAAGTGCAATATTATTAGTTTTTGATTTATTGTATTGAACTAATTTTTGTGCACTAAGTTGTTTCTTGTGGATGAGGTTTTCATTGTTGGGTCAAGAAATGAACAAATGCTTTTCTTGCAAATTCTTTTTATCTGTTATGTATATATGGTGTTAAATGCTATTAAGACACCAAAATTGAAATTAAATTAAATTAAGATTTTTAATTGAAATTAAATTAAATCATATTTGGACACACGCGAAATTATATTATATTGAATTAAGATATTCAAATTAAAATTAAATTAAGTCACAATTGATTGAGTTTACTATTCCTTTTGTCAATAAATATAAATCATTTCATGATAGTTATTTTATCCACAAACACAAGTCATTTTGAGAACATGAACGAGTTAATGATGTTTTTTTTTATTTTACTTTTTTTTTATATTAAATGCTATTATTTCTATAATTTTTTAAAACGTAACTTAACTAAATTAATAAATATTTTGTTATAATTAGGAAAATTAATCGTTGTTTAATCACCATGCAATAAATCTTAAAACGAACTTATAAGGAAAAAATATTTAATGTGGATGTTAATCAATAAGCCAATGCAAGAACGGAGCATGCTATCCAATGCATGTTAATTAATAGACGTTCTTTTACTATCTCCATTTCATTTTTACATAGAAAGTGGAGCACAGCGCGGATTAAGAAAATAAAATTTTTTTCCACTATTTTTCATTTATGCCCCTAAACAATATTTATTGCTTCTAAAGTGATCTAACTCTTAATTCCTCAAATTGTGTGACTATAAATAAGGGCATAGAGGACATTTTATCTTGGACAAATTTTCATATTGAGTAATTTCTCTGTATAAATGAAACAGGGATAGTAGACAAAAATTAGTTTGCATAGGAATTAAGGAAAAGAAATTTTTTTTCTAAATTTACCTTCAACATTACATTTATTACATCCTTCTTCACTTACGGTCCATTTTCTCGTGCTCTGATCTCCCAGTAAAGTCAATTAATGGCTAAAACTCAAAAATAACTGTTTTAGATTAAAAATTTTAAAATAATACAATGATTGAAGCAAATCTTGCAGAGAGTTAAAATCATTTTGGAGGGAAGATTCCACCAAATTTTTTTTTTTTTAATTATGAAATGTACTCATTTGAAAATTTGCATTGAGAAATTTGATTTTGGAGCCAAGATTTTAATTCAACCTGAACTGTCTCCTCATCTTCTTCATAGATGACCTCTCACATATAACAGTGGTCTACATCTAAGTTTTTTCACATGAAATTGCAAGAGAAAAAAAAAAAAAAACAAAAGTTTATCTTTCATGACTTTTTCACAAATATTTGATTTGGTCCTCACACCTTCTAATTCTCCCTCTAGTTTTGAAATTGTTCACTGTTACTCATAAAGTTTTATGATCTTGAATACTTTACATGACGTAGATGATATACCATCTTCCTCAAAGTATGTAGCTGTGCGTTTACTGAAACGATGCTAAAGTTTCTGACAATTCATCCCCTATTTCTGAAACAACAAGGATGACGAAAAAATATTAGCGAAGAGGTAAAAAACTTTAACTACAAATATGCTATTGTTTGAAATGCAATGAGTGTTAAATCAGTGTTCTATTAAAAAAGTTGCAAGCTTATGATGTCTTTTCTACATATGATCTTTAACAAAGTGCTTTTTGACTTTGCAGACATGCATGCTTGAAGTCTTGAAATATTTTGAAGGGTATAATTACAAGATTCCTCATTTTTCTAAGGATAGTTTGACGAGGAATGAAAAAATTGTCATCTTCAATTAAATTTGATATAGGCATTCTAAAGGAAGCAATACAAGCAATTCAGCTTATGTAGATAACATACAATGCGTCTGTAGATGTTTTATTATGAATTGTTCAATCCTCTTCGGTGTCTAGGTGCACTTTACATTAAGTTGCGCTGATTTTGTATTCTCTAGATTTACATAGATAAGTAAAAAAGCGTGCACCAACTTTTTGAATGAGTAGTACTTTTACATGTTTGTAGTTAAGTTCAATACATACACAATCAAACTTATTTTTTTTTTTTTTTTTTTTACACATTAAGTTGCGCTGATTTTGTAATTCTCTAGAATTTACATAGATAAGTAAAAAGCCGTGCACCAAGCTTTTGAATGAGTAGTACTTTACATGTTTGTAGTTTAAGTTTCAATACATACACAATCAAACTTAATTTTTTTTTTTTTTTTTTTTTACACGCATATCTTCTATTGTTTTCTTTTTAGACCTCACTGTCTAAAAAAACTAAGAGTGTTTGGGAAAATCGCCTATTTTTCCCACCCTTCGGACCGGCTTCAAGCAAGAACAAATGAAAATATAAAATAATAACTGAGAAATTAAAGAGAATAAATAACACGATAATTTAACGTGGAAAACTCCCCAAGTGGAGAAAAACCACGACCGTTGCCAAACGACAACCAAGAAAAATATTCACTATGCGACAAATTGTTACAACCACAACTACAAAATATTTTTCTAACCGACACCCTCAAAACACCCCAAATATTTTATACTACAAGGGACTCCAAAATACTTGCTTTAAATTCCTAATATAAAATACATTCAAGTATTTTTGGTGTGTTTTTGTGTGTTTAGAAACCTAAACATTAGCTTCCTTTTATAGCCAAACCTACCACCCTCTTTTGCTCATCTCCTATTGAGCAAAACTAAAATTTTTTTTTTTTTTCAACAAAGGAGGCTAACAATCTCCACCTTGAAAATAAAATTAAAAAAAAAAAACAATATTGTCTGCTACCGACAATCATAATTCTTATCGTCAAGAATTATCATACTCTACCATAAAAGAGTATCGCCACTTGGAACCACTTTACCGACTCCAAGAAGTTTCCATCCGCCATGTTGGATCCCACTAATAGTTTATGGTACAACCCTCCTGTTGACTTTTCCGAGAGTTCATTAGCCATCGACATATTTTTTTCACCACACACTTTGCATCAACTGTGCATCAACTGTCAACCAATGCCGTGCGCATTTTCGTGGACCACCTACCAATAATCTGTCCTCTTCCATGGCATCTTAACAGGTAGCAATCATGCCATAAGGACTCACATCTCTCAATTACAGAGAGATCACATCATCTCCTTCATCACAAGAGATCACATTGGCAGCAACAACGTTAGAGCTTCTAGCCGAATCAGCTCCACCGTTCGGGCAATCCTTCCTCACGTGTCCAGTTTGACCACCCGAGCAGACAACCTTCCTCTTTTCGGAGCTTTTATTCTTTTTCCGGTACCGACAGATAAAGCTGAATCCTCTTATGATTTATTTTTTCATTTCATTCAGTTCTCCTCCTCAGTAAGGGGAGCTACTAACCACAATCCGCATACACCACTTTTCCTTACTACCATATTTCAGGAACAGGTTTCATGTGCTCATATGTCGAAGGAAGAAGTGACAGGATGAGAATACGGAGAGCTTTATCTTCATCTTCGGTTTTTGCACTCCAAGAGTTTCTAATTCAGAGCACGATGCCGTTAAGAACAATCAGGTGATCTGACAGCTTTTGTACCTTCCGTCATTTCAACGTATGAAATTGCTCTTTCAAATTAAACCTATTTATTGGATATATTTTTTCCCTGGTACAATTCTTTCAGTTTCTCCCACAACTCTTTTGTCGTGGACAATCCAAGCACATTAGCAAGAACATTTTTTGCTATACGCATGCGAATTTGACTTGCCGCTTTGATATCCAGCTCCTCCCATTCTTCATCGCTAATCTTGGATTTTCTGAGTCTCTACTGCCACTGTCTTTTCCTGAATTCTTTTCGCTGACTGGTTTACCCTGTAAAACCTTATGCAGTCCAGACTGAATCAACACGTCTTTGACTTGCACTTGCCACAATGCAAAATTCATTCTCCTGTCAAATTTCTCAATCTCACATCTCATAGCCGACATGCTTACTTATGCTTATAACAGTGAACCCAATAATTAATGAAGTAAACTAATTAATGAAGTTAAACCGATTCGGCAAATACCAGGAAAAGATCCACAATTTGATCTCCTAGGACAATATTACCATTCCACGTAAAATCTAGTTGGACGAAGGGTCAACAAGTGGTCCCACTTTAAAATCCGACCTTCTAGACAGAAAGGTACGTGGCACGTATATTATTCAGAACTTTGTACCAGAATAACTTCATAATTATTCGTCAGGACCTCACCACCGGTACTTCAAGCACACCAAAGCCAAAGTTCCAACCCACTTCAAGACGTCCAAAAACTCCACCTGTTTTAAAATAAAATAATTCTAACAACAGTATTTTCTAATGTGGGAAGATCAGACAAGCTGCAACCACAGTGCATACTTATAATTTTAAATTTACAAGAAATATTTTAACACTAAAAACTCCGCCTAACAAACTAGGTTTCTGATTACCACTTATTAGGAAAATCACTATTTTTTTCCGCCCTTCGGACCGGGCTGCTTCAAGCAGGAACAAATGAGAAAATAAAATAATAACTGAGAAATTAAAGAGAATAAATAACACGATAATTTAACGTGGAAAACCCTCCAAGTGGAGAAAAACCACGGCCGTTGCCAAACGACAACTAAGAAAAATTTTCACTATGCGGCAAATTGTTACAACCACAACTACAAAATATTTTTCTACCCGACACCCTCAAAACACCCCAAATATTTTATACTCCAAGGGACTCCAAAATACTTGCTTTAAATACCCAATATAAAACACATTCAAGTGTTTTTTGTGTGTTTTGGTGTATTTAGAAACCTAAACATTGGCTTCCTTTTATAGCCAAACCTACCACCCTCTTTTGCTCATCTCCTCGATGTGGGATTGAGCAAAATTTTGCTCATCTCCCTCGATGTGGGATTGAGCAAACCTGTTTTTCTTTTATAGCCAAACCTACCACCCTCTTTTGCTCATCTCCTCGATGTGGGATTGAGCAAAACCTTTTTTTTTTTTTTTCAACAAAGGCGGCTAACAAAGAGAACATAAAAGTACTTCAGTAATGTGATCATTTTAAAAACTAAAACAACGAACAAACAATCGCCCTAGAGAGGTATGATTTTCAATTTGTGAATGCGAGTTAAAACTAAAAATCATTGATTTAGGATTTGGAATGGGCACAATCTTTTAAATTGTGCATTGTTGTTTGAAGAGAATTATAAAAATGGTGTACATATGACTAAAATTATGCTCATAAATTGATTTTTCTTGCATTTTTAATTAAAGTGAAAAAAGAAAAGGATAAAACAATTGTCTTCTAAACGTAGCCTCATTAAATGTGTTTTCTATATTTTGTTTGTCACTATCATAATATTTTCAGATATTGAAAGCTATATAAAGGGCAATATGGACTTTGTACCTTCATTTTTTTACCAAAATATCAACTTTGTCTATATAAATAGATCACCCTAAATAGAAAGAAAGTTTGTCAAAAAAGGAACAGAGGGAGTATAAAACTTCTTGCATATACTTTAAATTTTTACCCATCCCTTATTTGATTGGTTCATAATTAAAGTAAAAAGAGAAAATGTTTATTTGTTTTCCAATAAACAGAGCAACTAAATATGTTGAAGATACTACACAATTTCTAGTGAGATTGTACTAATAACAAATTGTGCAATTTAACAGTAATCCTCTATCCCAACATATAAATCATTTAATATTTTCATACAAAAATTAAATAAATAATTAATTCTCCTAAATTATAATAAAATCAATAATAAATTGACTAAATTATTTTTTATCCAAAATTAATAATTATTTTTAAAAATATTTAATTAATAAATTATTTTTAAAAAATTTATATATTCGATATAAAATATAAAAATAATATAAAAAAAGTCATCATTATATTATTTCTAAAATACTCAAAAACGTTTTTTAATTGAGAAATTAATAATTATTTTTAAAAATATTTATTATATTCGATATAAATAAAAATAATATTAAAAAATATCATTTATTATTTCTTAAAATACTCAAAACGTTTTTTATATTGAGATAAAATGAAAAAAAAAAGACTTATATTTCACACGATAGAGTATATGTTAATTAGATGACCACATCAAAATCACCAATAAAAACCCTAATGGACCACGACAGCTTACTAGGGTCCACGAATCCATAAAAAATCAGAATATGGTCCCACACTTCCTTATCATATGCATCAAATGCCCACATCAAGACCCTTTAAGAACATGCAATTGTGTCTCTTTTATAAATAAATAAAAAAAAATGAAAAAGAAAAAGAAAAAGTCAATGATCTAATTGGCTGCCAGAGAACTTAATTGTAATATAAATAATTACTTATCAAAATATAATATTAAGCAATCATGTACTCCAACAATAATCATTATATGCATATTTTGATTCCACCATTTATGGGTCTCATAGGAAAATGTGGACCTACAAATTTTTTTTAAAGTATATCCATTTTATCCTCAATAAAAGATTTAACTTAATTAATAATTAACTTTAAACACATGACATGTTGGCCATGATTTTGATTAAGCTATGTAATGACTTCCCACTTATATTTCAAACTTCAAAGCCAAAATAAAGAATTGTAATTATACAAATTTAGTATAAATTAGATTTATTAGCATTTGTTACTTGAGTTTTGGCAGAGAGCTCTACAACTTTCTTTCAATCTCAAATCTGCATAATTTTTCTTTCAACTAAAAAGCAAACTATATATTACATTTTCTTTCTAAAGACCAATCCAAGCTCTACAGGCTTGCTTTTCTGTGATTACATTAATCAAAATTTATATTAATATTAAAAAACTTAGAAACCTGTAAAATATTAGCTTTTGCTGTCTTCTTTCTTTCTGTCTTCTTTGCAATCTCCTCTCCTCCACCATGGAGAAGTGAAGTAGTCCTTCATCTAGTAATTCTTCTCTCCTCCATTTCCTATGTCGAGTATTAAGCGACCGATCAGGTTTAGGTAAATTTCTAAAGAAAAATAAGTTCCTGTAGTATCAAACCCTTGAATGTAATCTTCGAAACCGGGCTCTCCTTTCTCTACACCTCTATAAATACTTCTCTTATGTATTTTTGTATTTTTTTTTTTCCCTTTTATCCTCTATATAACTGTAGAAATACCACTACCTATCGTTGATGCAAATGGGCTTTCTGGAAGGTTAAGTCCTTGGCTGCAAACGGAAAATCAAAATATGTATGTATCAGAACATAAACATACTGTGCTTTAAAAATAACAGCATAAGAAATGAATTTCCCGTTTAATACCTATCTTGGTCATTGTAATTAGTACTTATGTGCCGGAGTTTTTCTTCGCTCGAGGAACCATTGTTCAAAACGTCCAACAAATAATTGAAACGCTCGGCAGATGGGAACTCTGCTTGTTCTGCAGCAACTAACCAGTTGCAGCGATAGATCAATATTAGTCAAAAAGCAAGAAAATAAAGAACTAAATAAAAGATTAGTTTGAATATTAGACCTTCTGAGAACTTCAACTCATCCATTGAATAGCCAAAATAAGAATGATGGTTATGAGATTTTGGTGCTAACTGCAAATCTGAGAGACGCCTCCTCTCGAATTCAAGAACATTCCCGTGCTCTTCCATTAGCTGCTTCCTAAGTAATCTTGAATTATCACAAACTCTTGGAACTACAAAAATAGCCAAAAAAAAATGTATATTAAAGGAAAATAATATTATCCGCATAAATTATTATGATAGGAATAAAACAAAAAATTGTATATTTATCTGAAGCTCTTCACTCACTTGAATGAAGATCAGAATCTCCATCCATAAAGTGCGGGCTGTAATACATTGAATGCTGTATTTTCTCAGGATACTTCCTGCATCAAGATTTTCTTAAAACCATAAATATCAATTTGAAAGATAGAGATTCAAAGGTAATATACAACCATAAAAGCAAAACTTAAAAAGAAAAAAAGATGGGTACGATTCTCCTAAAACATGTTCCCTCTAATAAAAATTGCTGCAAATGTTACAAAAGAAAAGCAAGTTAAGGGATTATGATTGATTCACACTTAAGATTTCCCTTCAAAAAAAAAAAAGTTTCATTCCTATTTGTAAAAGTGAGAAGAGAACAAGAATCAAACAAGAGATTTTTTATTTACTTTTGAAAGCAGACTTAGTGTGGAAAAAGAAGCACTAGGTTTTGTCAACAAAGGGAGAACAAGCCAGCTGAAAGGTCTTCTGTATTATTGATGTTGATGATTGCAAGAAAGCATGAAAAGATAATCAAAATGATCAAAAATAGCAGAGAACCCTATTCAAAATAGAATCATTCTGTTTTTTCACAATGAGAATTCCTCTGGAAGAAAATATCTAAGGATCAAAATTTGTCTTGGCAGTTAGCTTTAGAAAAATAATGGGTCCATGTCAATCACATTTTGGTCCGATTATAAAGAAAGCAATAGAAAAATAACAATAACTAATTTTCCAAACTTTAACTATGTTTGCAAATCAAAAGTGACTGAATCTATCCACAATCCAAATAGAAGATAATGGATGCTGCACCTGTAAACAAACAAAAAAAAAAAAAACATTTACCTATCAACAAGCCTTGACTTTTCCCGGTAAGGTTTCACCAGTACACGAGCACCGCATACAAAATGAGGGTTTCCTTTTGCCAATATTTGCTTGACAGTCTCCACGAAAACGAAAGTGACAAATCCGAACATCCTCTTCTGTTGGCAAGGAATTCTAACATCTTGAACAGGCCCAAATTTGCTAAAAAAATCAAATGAAAAAGAAAGCTTTAAATATAATAACTCGAAAACAATTAAACAAATAGGAGAACCATTCAATTTTCCAAATAAAAAAACTCAACTATATCCTCACCTAAAGTAGTTTGAAACATCCTGCTCTGTAAAGGTACTTTCAGCTGGAAAGGTAAGATATATCTGTCTAGAACCAGCAACTATTCCACCAGGATCATTTCTCTCACCAGAGTAGTCCAAATACTTAGGGACATCTTCTGCTAGAATCACTGAATGTTGCCCGTGAGGTCTGCGTATTGAACAAAAACAACTAAAAGTTATATTTGAATTGTGAAGTCATAAAATTAAACGAACAATAAATCAAACAAGAGAATTATGAATATTTACATATTCGACCTGTCAATGACACGAATGCTATTCTTCAATCGAGCTAAAAGCTTTGTAAGGCTATAACCAGCCTTACCATGTCTCTGGCTCTCCGTAAGATACCCTTCTGCCTGGAGAGTCCTCCCGTATTTCTCATAATACATCATTGGTAAAGATGCAATTGAAACAGGCATTCCTCTTCTCGATTTCAAAAGCTCGGTAAGCTCCATTTCAAGCTTTTCAATAGACCCAGGTGAGAAAATATGTTCATCATTCGAAATGTCATTTGATTTAGGGCTAAAAATCATAGAAAAGCTTTCTGGCATTGGATGGCCATGGAAGTACCTACAGTTGTTTCCATGCTTGCAGAAGCCTTTATTGAAATAATGACAAATTTTAACAGGAAACTCAGGCATGCTTGGAGACCTTCTATTAGTTCTAGGACCTAATGCAGATTCTGAAGAAAAGTAATTACTTGAAAAATCAGAACTCACAGAATTAGCAAACTCTAACTGATCGTCTAAAGTCAAGAACTGCATTTGGTTTTGAAGCCTATAATCTTCAGCAACCGAATCCGAATACCCTTGTGTATCGAAATTGTGCACTTGTTGCTGGTCAGTAATCACTGCAGCATCCCAGAAAGAACTTACAGCAGCCCTATGTGAAGTAGCTGCAGGAGAGGAGACAGGGTTCGATGAAGCTGGCGAAAAGGGAGTAAATTGTAGAGGAATGTCTGAAACGGCCCCTGTTGGCTTCACTTGTGAAGGTGAGATTGGAGCAGAAGCAACTGCTAATTTGTTCAGTCCAAGATCACACTTAGCTTTACTAATCAATGAATAAATCGAATTATCCGGGCTAAAAGCCAACCGGATCATTTCTCGTTCCGCATGATCTTGTAACAGAAGATACCCTATAATTTTATTCACGTTTTCAGGCTCCAACTTCTGAATTCTACTGTATACAACCTTTGTGGACTCTGTAAAATCCATTTCAGAATATTCTCAACCCTGCAAAATGTAAAATGGCAAGTAATCTTAAGAAAATGGATTCGGATATGACTTCTGTGGAAATTCTGTTAAGATTGTTAATGACAGATAGAGAAGTACTATTTTTTGTAAAACAGTTTATAACACAATCAAATATAGATCTAACAGCGTAAGAAGATAGGAACATGAATGTTAATGAAAATTTACTAAAATTCAAGGCATTTTGAAAAAAAATTCCTTTTTTATTTCACCCCACAAAAGAAAATAATAATTCGGCAAATAAAATAACTATAACAAACAAAATATAGTCATAAAAGGAAGTATTGACAGCCAAATCAGAGAAAAGCTGGAAACTTATCACTTCAGAAAAGAGAAATATCAACAGGAAATACATGCATCTGTTCCTTTATTTAGCATAGAAGGAAATTTGATATTGCTTTACAACATCAAATTAGGGCAAAAATAAACAAGTAGCCATTCCACAGAAAACTTTTGCTTTTCTAAAATAATCAGAGAAACCAAACAGAAATTTTCACTTGCAAGTCTTTCAAAAATAAACTGAAAAATTCAAAAGGACATTTTCCTACCACCAAATGAAAAGAGACAGTTTCCATCTTCCCACCCTTAAAAACAGTTGTTTATGCTCTTCTTAGAAGCCCAAAAGAAACCATTAGAAGTAAGAAAAAGAAAAAAAAACCCTCTTCTTTAACCGTAAGCGAGAAGAAAACTTCACTGTTTGTCTTAAGAATAGGCAAAGAAAATAAAAATGGATAATAAGGAAACACAAAAGTCAAAACAGCAAAACCCACCATCTCAAACACAAATCTCAACTTCTCAATCATTCTTTTTGTTTGCAACATTTCTCAACAATTGACCGAAACAAAAGAAAATAGGAAGGAAAAAAGTTTCTTTTTTTTTTTTTTGTCAAAATTTCTTCCTCAAATTAACCATCACAAATCTTCTAAAAAAAAATAACACTGGAATGACAGAAAGTTGATACTCCAATAAATTAACAATAATTCGTCACCAAGAAACAGAAACAGAGGCAGAACGAACACTGACAAAAAAAAAAAAAATACTTTGATACTGCCAAAAATAACAATAATTCGTCACCAAAAGAACAGAACAGCGGCAGAACGAACACGACAAAAAAAAAATAACTGAGCGAACCTCTACGAAAAATTCAAATTGTCGAGAAAAAATACCCAGATAAAAAAACAACTTTAAGCACGAAATTTAAAAAAGAGAAAAGAAAAAAAAAAATATGAAACCATTTCAAGCAAAAAAATTAGTAAACAATCGTACCTTCAAATCTTAAAAACATAAAGCCTCCTAAAAATCAAAAATGGAAAAAAAAAAAAAAAAAGGTCAGTCGAACCAACTCAAGCCTTCTTCCATGGCCAAGCTTGGTTTATTACTCTTGCTCTCTTGTTCTGCGTATGCAACACCATTATTAAAAAAATAATCACAAGAACAAAAACCCAAAAATGACAGAAAGATAGCTTTAAAGAGCGCCTTGTCTTTAGTTCAAATCAACTCTCTCTCTCTTAAATATACAGAAACAAACACACTTTCTATCTCTCTCTAACATATGCTGAAAAAAAGCACATGAGGGAGCCATTTGATTTTTATATTTCTACACAAACTTTAAAATTAATCAATTTATCTCTCTCTTGTTTGATTAATTCTTATCTTGGTCTGTAAACTCTATTATATTTCTTTTTAAATTTGAAATTCTTCAGTACAGTTTCATAATTATTATTTTTTAAAAAAATTTACAGGTTGTACTCTAGTTGGAGAAAATTGCGCCAACTTGCTTGAGTTTCCTAAACTGAATTCAACCAACCGAAATTACTTTATTACCCTGGCTATCAATTTTAAGAAATTCTAAATTTTTTATATTTTTCGTAAATATCTATACGTCTCCTTGCTTTTCTTAGGAAAACTGATGAAACATCATCTTAGAGATGTCTGTGTTCCTGATTAAACTTCCACCGTTAGATTGTTTTTCTTAAAACGAACAAATAAAAATGAAAAACAGTGGCTATCTGTCTGTCTATAATGTCTGTAAATGGCAATCATGCAAATCCACTGTGGTCCCCACGTGTGATTACAAGATTAGCGGCTGTGATTTTACAATTCAAACAAATAAAAGTTAAAAAAATGCATGCTTGCCACGTGGATTTTTGGCTGCAAGCTACAGTCTGGTTTTAAGTGGTTGCTAGATATGGATAAAGTATACTACTTTGACCACTGGCAATTAAAATTTTACTTTTTTTTTTCATCAATTAAAAAAAATTATTTTTTATAGTATTTGCTGTCTTAATATGCATTTTTAGGGATCCAATATTGTATTATTATCCTTACCTAAATTAAAATCGCCTATAATCTTAAAAAATATTTTATTATTTCATTAAAATTATTATTATTAATTTGATGGATATAAATTGCTATAGATATTCATTCAAACGAAATATAATTTATAATATTCTTTCAATCTATTTAGTCTATTATTATAAATAATTGTTTTCAAATTTATATATTATAATAATATAATTTCCGTGAATTTTGTGAGAATGTTTAAAAATTATTAAAAACAGATAATCATCATTAGTTTTTTAAGGATAATGTAAATGTTTGATCAAATAATTTTTAGAAACAAAATTTGAAGTTTTTAAAAAAATATTAAAGATCAAAATATATAATAAATTTATTTTTTTTTTTTTTGAAGAATAAAATTTTTTAAAAAGTAATTAAGTAATTATATTGTCTTTATTTTAGTGTACAGCTGTACAAGTAGGGTACTTACTGTCAGCGTCTATGTCCTATCTGGCAAGGCACTAGCAGTTCTCCGCGATTGGTGGCCAGAAAATCACTGCCTTTCTAAACCAGAAAAAAATTACGGTAATTTAAAAATCACAAAAACAAAAGGATAAGTAAGTGGATTTGGTAAATAATAGGAAATGTGAGGGTAATTCAGGTAAAAGAGCGCTTTTGTTTTAGAAAAAAAAAAAAAAAAAAAAGTGGACGTGACAGTTACCGTCAACTGCTGATGGAAAATAATTAGATTTTGGAATCGAGTTTAGATTCCAAGAGAGAAAAACAAAAACAACATTTGGATGTTACAGTTTACCGTTAAAAGCGAACCTTTCTGTGTGAAGGTAACCGGTGATTTCTTTTTGCTATGTTTAGTGGTTATATTAAAATCATAATATGGATTAACAGGTGGTGACAAAAATGATGAAGTGGTTAACTAAAAGGCCTGGATTAGGTTATAAGGGTATTGACAGTTGAGCTTATCAACGTTATATGATAAGCTGTATGATTGGCGTTTTCATATTTAAAAATATATATATATATATAGAAAAGTGAAAGATGATGAGTTTGAATTATTTCTATTTTATAGTAAAAGTAATTATTAATTTATTAAATATTATTAAAAAATTAAAATTATTTTTTAAAGGGAAAAAAACCCATTATCTTATAATTACAGTATTATATCGTAGTGAGGTGGCAATGATATTGAAGATTAGATGGTGATAAAGGTTTGCAACAATTAGTACTCATTGCACGGACTTAGCCTATTTTTTTAAAATCCAAAATAACTTTTTCTATAAAGCCTGCAGAGATTGTGGTATATGTCATGTTAGGTTCATCATGAGAGGCTTATTTTGTTGACCCACATTTTAAAAAGAAAACTAATTTAAAAGTAAATTTTTTTTTTCATAAAACTTTTAAGGAAGTAAAATTAAAAATTAAATAAAAACTTCTAAAAATCATAATAAACTAATTCAAAATAATTATAAAAAATATAATCTTATCATTTAATAATTTATACTATTATTTAGTTTCTCAACTATATTTAAATAGACCAAAGTATAAAATTCATTTTAGAATTTAATTATATTATTATACTACTTAATTTTCCATTGCTTCTCTATTAATTATTAATTATAAAATACCGTTATTTATTCCAAGAATGTGGATTTTCCGTGCTAATAACGTTGCTTAATTAATCGGATGTTGAGCCTCACGTTTTATATTCAATTTATTTGCTTTTTATTTCATCAATTTATATATCTTTATAAATAAAATATATACGTAATTAGAGGCATATAAAATATTTATGTTTCAACTGTAGCTTAACAGTCCTTGTCCTAAATAAATAATTAATTGCCATCTGAGAAAAATTATCGCAATTGGATATTATTTTATCATTTTTTTTATATATTGATAAAAATATTTTTATTATTTTATCATTTTACAGATTATTTAGTTCTGAAGGTGTAGATGTTGCAACCCATTTCTTAACTTGGATTTTTATTTTTGATTTCCTTCCTTTATGTTGTGGTAATTCTTTTTCTAGTTCTCTTCTCTTACCTTGGGAGGAGTCTCTAAACGAACTTTTCTTTTGCTTTAGGTCATTTATCAAGCCGCGGAAGAGTATAGGTGTATTGCGGAAACTATTTTCATGAGTGTAATTTACTTGATTTCGATAAGTTTTTCTCCTAATTAATATCTTCAATAATAAAATTAATATTTTAATTGCTGATAAAAAAAAATTATTTGAACTAAAAAATTAAATTCAATTGATTGGGTACATGAGGAGCGAATACATTAAAAGTATATAATTCCTTCATCACTTAATCTAAGAATAATTATTTAAGTGGTTAAACAAATTTAAGATAGATGTACTAAAATAATAATAATAATTAATAGTTAAAGCTGTGGCAAATTGCCACAATGAAGCAACTTTATTAAATTGAAATGTAGGATTGGTTGTTCTGTTGTTCTAAAAATAATTTGTGGATAACCATGAAATGATAAGTCTGCGTAACGTGCTGTTTGGGTGACACAAGAACCATAACACTAGCCGCATTACTTGTATCCAATTAAGAAAATTTTTAGTTTTTCCAATTAAAGATTGCCTTAAACAAGCAACAGAGTCTGAAGTTATGCTTTTGCATGTAAGTTTCAGTAAGGATGCTTTTTATTTGTGAAATTTTATATATAAATATAACACTATTTCTTGCACTCATTTTATAATATAACAGGGATTTGTCTACTATACAAACCACGTTCAGAATAAATAATGCAGTTATTTTTTATATATTTATATAGCGATAAGTGTATTTTTAAATTCAACAATTAATTATATTCAAAAAGAAATTCAATAATCAATAAGGATGCTTTTATTTTTATATAAAGTTGTTTCTTGTATTTTTTTTTTTATTTTTTTTAATTCAAATAACTGACGAAGTTATTTTAAATAAGATCATTCTCGTAACAGAGAAACCTGTTAAAGAAAATAATTAAGTATTAACAATTCTATTTTTGTTTCCATCGTGAATAGTAAAATAAAGAATTGTTTTTGAATTTTCCACATTCTTTTAGGCATAAAATTAATATTGTTTAAAATTTGTGTCTCTCCTAATTATTATTTCACATATATTAGGCCGTTACACAATATAAGGATAACTCTCCCCTTAACTCATCAAATTAATGAAAAATAATTGTGGTCGAGTGAATTCAAACTTGAGACCTCCTACTCCTCACATGAATGAGAAAACCAATCAAATCACCCGATGCATCCCACATAGCCCGCGGAGTACATCCTGGGCTAGTGTATAAGGCTGGGTTCAGTCCTTCTCCTACGAGCTAGTTTTTGGGGCGAAGTTAGGGGTCCAGATCCTTATTATTTGGTACGAGAGGGCTCTTGGCTTCGTAGGAATCGGGTGCTCATGAGTTCGTTCGAAAACGCCGACTGAGCAGTCGGTCCTAATGGGGTGGGGGATATTTGGATGCATCCCACATCGCCCGCAGAGTACATCCTGGGCTAGTGTATAAGGCTGGGTTCAATCCTTCTCCTACGAGCTAGCTTTTAGAGCGAAGTTAGGGGTCCAGATCCTTATCATCACCACCTAATTAGTTTGTAGTATTAATTATGTAAGTAGTTTCTTGTTGCTTTCTTTCATTAAAAAAAAATAAAAAAAAACTCAAATTTTAGAGTGTATATAATACTCCAAGCACTCCAAAATAAAATAAAATAAAAAAAAACCTATAATATGCACATGCCAGAATATGGTGTGGTTCAGTTTTAACTTTGAAGGCATTGATTCCGCTGCCAGTATGCATATTAAAATAATCAATAGAATTGTGTATCCATTTTTGAACATGCTTAAGAATGGTCACATGTTATTAATTATTATTTTTAATAGCTAAGTATCAAATTAATATTTGTTGTTAAGTTTAGTATTCAAGAAATGCATTTTGATGCTATTTGTTTAAAATACTTTTGACAAATTAAATTTTCAAAGTTGCATGATAAACTCATTATAAATCGCAATGAAAATGTTTTTTTTGAGTATTAGAGAAAATGATTTCAATTTGAATTTATTGTCAAGTCATACATGCATTTACCACTAGACTATGTCTTGATGTGCATAACTGCAATGAAATTAATCAATAGTGAAAATCCAAATTAAATGATTTTTGTTATAATTATTATAGTAATTTTCCATTTTCCTTCTAGAAATTTATGAGAATCTAAAATCTGTTTGTTTCTATAAAATAACTTGTAGGAAAATATTTTTCACAATTTTTTATTATTTGAAGCGTTCAGGAAAATAAGTCAATGAAAAATATTTTCCTAGTCAAAGGAAAATTAGGTCATTTTGAAAGGACAATAACTTTCCATTTTCGCGAGAGTAAAACATTTTCCGAACATTGATAAATCTTATAAATCCAAATTTTTTTAATTTGTTAATAATTGTAGTTACTACCAGCATTTACCACCGGTCACGGGCAGCCACCACCACTGGCCACCAGTGGCTTTCATTTTTTATTTATTTTTTTTTTTTTTGCATTCTTCTCATATTTAACAATAAAATTTCTATTATTATTAATATTTTTTATGGTCTTATAACATTTAACCAACATAAAATTAAATTATTAAAAATAAAAAAACTATTTTTCAATAATTATTTTTTTTAACAAATTTATTTTACGGTAACTTATGGAATAAAGATACCGGCTGGCTTTTGCTTCACCTGCTTTCAATGGTTATCCTTCTAGCTTTTGCGAAAACCTGTTGTTCATAAACCTAAACACACAAAAACAGGGCTAAGTGGTAGAGGTATCAAACAACAAAGACAATTGGGAAGGGGGAATGTTTTTTGGTTGTTTCTCTAAGTCTTATCCATCTTACAATCTATCTAGCCGTTGGATTTTTTTTCAATCTTGGATGATGGACACAGTTTTTTCAATAAATATTAATTTGGCAATTTTGGTCAGTATTGAATTTATTTTTTAAATGAATTTTATATCTAAATTAAGGTTGGAAAATTAGAATGTGTAACTTTAGAAGGGTTTTTTTTTGATATTATTCAATATAAAAAAGATTTAAATAAATAACTAATGGAGCCAATACGGTTTCACAAGCTTGAATTTTGTGATCCGACTGCACCAGAACCATTTTCTGCATAAGTTTTCAATCTTCTCACTTTGTGAGGTTGCAAGTTTTTAACTGCGCTGGCAGTCATCTTCTGCGCGCTCAACAAGCCTTTGTGTCATCCATTTTTTACGAACTTTTCGATTTCTATGTAATTTCTCTTTCTTTAATTCGAAGGTCTTATTTGCAAGATTTTTTTCCTGTTAAAATATTTTTTTTTTATTAGCAAATCTAATTTATTCAAGTGAACTATACGAAGCTAATGAGTCTCGATGGCATTTCATAATTTTGAAAGTTTAGTGAAAAGCATAGTGTCCTATAAAGAGCAAACATTATAAAAGGGAAAGCTGTTATTTCTCTTCTTGAGTTACAAAAAAATTGCATATGATAAAATGCTCAAATACCATTTTCCTTTTTAGGTAAGCATCTGCAAAATGATTAGGTTCTCTAATGATATGTTTACTCTACGTTAACAACCGGTTAATTCATTACCATTATGCTTCCAAATTATTTTCTTTTTTTTTTTTTTTTTTTTTTTTTTTTTTTTTAGTTTTCTCCGCCTTTTAGGACTTTATCCAGAATTTATCCAAGAGGAAACGAGGGTGTTATAACATCATGGAAGACTGATAATTTAGAGAAGTTTTTTCTCCCTCTTTTTGTTAACAGATTGCTCATACAATTTTTGATTCGTTGTTGGCAAGTTCAAATCTAGAGTTCAAGAGTTTCTCCCAAGATCTAATCTCTAAATCCAAAAATGATTATGGTGGTAGATATGATGATGTCTATGAATTTTTCCTTTCATTGTTGTTTTTGTATGGATTTGAAATTTCTTTAATGATTTCACCTTTTTCTAGATCTTGTATTTTAAACTTGATTTGATCATGTTTATTTATATACCCTTAGGCCATGTTTGGTATGATATATCAACCATGTAACGGAATGAAAATATTACATGATTGGTTATATTGTTTGGTTAAAATTTTTTTTTAAATGCTATGTAATTGAGATTACATATGTAGTCTTCATTATTTAAATTGATGTAGTATTCATTAGATAAAAAAACTCATGTATTGTCTATTATTTCAAGCACGTGTAATACAAATTACATCAATTCACCCTAATTAAAACTCTACAACTACCACAATCGCTCGACCACCACTCCACCATCCCACCATTTCCTCAACCACTCCACCATTGCCACCATTCCTCCACAATCACAACCATCACTACCACTCCACCATCACCAAACCTCGACCACTTTGTCACCACCACTACTGCTCTATTACTATCACCTCCACCACTCCTACTCCACCACTCTACCACCAACACCACAACCATCATACCACAACCATCACCACCGCTCCACCTCTACTTTATCACCACTGTTGCCACCATCGTTCCACTGCTCCACCACCGTTTCACCACTGTTTTATCACCACTACCTCAACCACCATCACCACTGCCGCTCCACCACTCTACCATTACCACCATCACCACCACTACTGCTGCTCTACCACCACCACGTCAGCCACTCTACCATGACCACCACTACAACACATAATAAAAATTATATTTTAGTATTTTATATGCAATACTCAATAAAATTTAAATTTTATTCTTTTATTTTATTATTATAGAAATGAGAGGGATAGAATGAAAAAGCACTAGAAATATCAAAATGCCATAATTTATATTGTAATTTAATTTATTTAACGAAAATATATACAAAAAATAATTTCTAACGACTTTAATTTTTATTTTGTTATATTACATTTTTTTGGGTTACCTAATTTTAATTTCTTAGTTAAAATAAATTTATAAATCTAAATGGTTTTTAATAATTTAATATAGCGAATAGTTTTTGGTTCAAATGTTTCTTTTGTATTAATAATGATGTGGTGGTGGTGGAGTCGTGTTTAAGGTGATAGTAGTGATGGTGAAGTGGTGGTTTTGGTGGTGGTGGTGTGATTACTGGTAGTATGCTAATTACATTATATATTTTCAAATAAATATAAAAAAGAAATGGTAATTACATTTTATAGATTTTCTTAATCATTACCAAACATAATAACATTACCTTACATTTTTCAATACAATACATCAAATCAAATATAACCTTATTTTATATGTAATGGATTTATCTTGTGTTAAAAAAAATATTATTTTTTATCTACCCCTAATATTATCAATCTAAAATTTCTTTTTTAGGAAAAATATAATGGAAAAAAAAGATTCTCGATATTAATAATTATATTATATATATATATATATATTACATTACATAATTAAAATAAATAAAAAAATAATTCACCATTACATTTCATATTTTTTTAATTATATAAATAAACAAAATAATAAACTCATATTACATTGCGATTTTCGTTCTATTACATCTTTATTACATTATAACACATTACTTCTCACTAAATGTGACATTAGAGTTGATGGCATAGTTATTATTGTTGGACATTATATTGCCCAAACAATGAAAAAGCCCAAATAGAGCCCATTCAAGGCTCTTTGGCATTAACCGACATCGTTTGACTCATAAACTCATTGTCGTTTATTCTAGCTACCGCTCCTTTCTAGGTTCGTACGACTGATCGGGTAAATTTCTTCCTTCCCTGAGAACATTCTTGGATCCATGTCACTTTTATCTTTCTCGTACATCTCTGAGTAAAACACCCAAATTCTCATTACTCCAATTCTATTTTCTTTTATAATCTCTCTTTTTCTGGGATTCAATTGAACAGAAAAATGTACCAATGGAGGAAATTCGAGTTCTTTGAGGAGAAATATGGTGGAAAAAGCAAGATTCCCGATGATGTCAGTGGAAAGATCGAGTGTTGCTCTAGCGGTAGGGGGAAGGTGGTTATCGGCTCCGATGACGGTGCCGTCAGCTTACTCGATCGAGGCCTTAACTTCAATTTCGCCTTTCCTGCTCATTCCTCTTCTGTCCTCTTTCTCCAGCAGCTCAAAGTACGCTTCATTTTTTTTTTTTTTTTGCACAAATTATTGATTTCTGCTCTTTTTTTATAAGGAATGTTTGGATTCTGAGTCAAAGAAAAAGAAAGGAAGTGAATCTCGATATTGAAGAAATTGAAATTGGAGCCAGTAGTCGAATGTTTGTATCACAGTGTAGAAGCACATGGATTCATTCCCTGACATGCCCCCTCCTCTTTAGAAATTTCGTTACTTGAAGAATAAAAGGAAAAAAAAAAAAATGGAAATTACATTCTGACGTTTTTGTTTTTTTTATAATTGTTTGTCATGGAATTCAATTTTGAAACTTCAGTTTTCTATTGTATTGTTCATCTTTTAAGATACTATACGTAGTTTTGTTTTGCTGATATTTTATAATGTTTAGCTGCTTACAATTTAGAAAATATAGCTAAGATACATTAAGCTTTGAATAGAAGACCTTTTGCTTTAACGAATAGAATTCATTTATTAATTAAATTTTCATTTTTGTCAAATCTATAAAGAAAATTAAATGTAGTGTTCCCATAACTGAGTTGTGCCATATTTGAGACTGAAAAAAGATCTTAAACTAATAATTTCTTCATGCTTGACCTCATTTATATTATAAAGCATCTATCGATAGATCATGGTTTTTAATTTTGTTTCGCTTTTTTCCTTGTGGCTTGGATCAGCAACGCAACTTCCTTGTTACTGTTGGGGAGGATGAGCAAATATCTTCACAGCAATCTGCCATGTGCCTCAAGGTTTTTGACCTTGACAAAATGCAGTCAGAGGGCACAAGTTCAACTATTCCTGACTGTATCGGAATTCTGCGAATATTCACTAATCAGTTTCCTCAAGCAAAGGTAGTAAGCTCTCCTTTTTCAATTTAATATAATTACTATGCTCCTGTATTTGATTGCCTTGTTCTGTCTCAATGACTCGTATAGCTTGCATATCAAGGTTTAATGTTCTAAATTTAGGCTCTAAGGTTTTTTTTCTTGTGAAAAAACATTGAAATTGTGATATGCTGCAGATTACATCATTTTTAGTACTGGAAGAAGCTCCTCCGATACTACTCATAGCTATTGGCTTAGACAATGGTTGTATTTACTGCATCAAAGGGGACATTGCAAGGGAACGTATCACACGCTTCAAGCTCCAGGTGGATAATGTTTCAGACAAAAGTCAATCATCCATTACAGGTCTTGGATTCAGAGTTGACGGTCAAGCTCTTCAGTTATTTGCTGTGACTCCGAATTCTGTGAGTTTGTTCAGCTTGCACAACCAACCACCCAGACGTCAAACATTAGATCAGTTAGGAAGCAATGTCAATAGTGTAACAATGAGTGATCGCTCGGTAAGTGACTTGGAACTCCTCATTTTTCACATCTTATGTTGCTTTGTAAATGTTTGTAATCTTTGTTTCTGCTTGTTTCATTATCAGGAGTTAATAATTGGGAGACCTGAAGCTGTGTATTTTTATGAAGTTGATGGGCGTGGTCCTTGTTGGGCATTTGAGGGGGAGAAGAAATTCCTAGGGTGGTTTCGTGGTTACCTTTTATGTGTTATTTCAGATCAAAGAAGTGGGAAAGATACTTTCAATGTTTATGACCTGAAGAACCGGTTAATAGCGCACAGTCTAGTGGTTAAAGAAGTTTCTCACATGCTCTGTGAGTGGGGTAACATAATACTTATAATGAATGACAAATCAGCTTTGTGTATTGGAGAGAAAGATATGGAAAGCAAGTTGGATATGCTATTCAAGAAAAATCTTTATACTGTGGCAATCAATCTTGTCCAAAGTCAGCAAGCTGATGCTGCTGCCACGGCAGAAGTGCTAAGGAAATATGGGGATCATCTATATAGTAAACAAGACTATGATGAGGCTATGGCCCAGTACATCAACACTATTGGTCACCTTGAACCTTCATACGTCATACAGAAGTTTTTGGACGCACAGAGAATATACAACCTTACAAATTACTTGGAAAATTTACATGAAAAGGGCCTTGCTTCTAAAGATCATACTACTCTTCTCTTAAACTGCTATACCAAATTGAAAGATGTTGATAAGCTGAATGTGTTTATTAAAAGTGAGGATGGTGCTGGAGAGCATAAGTTTGATGTTGAGACTGCAATAAGGGTCTGTCGAGCTGCCAATTACCACGAACATGCAATGTATGTGGCTAAGAAGGCAGGAAGACACGAACTGTATTTGAAGATCTTACTTGAAGACCTTGCCAGATATGATGAGGCCTTACAATATATTTCAAGCCTCGAACCAAGTCAAGCTGGTGTTACTGTGAAAGAATATGGTAAAATTCTTGTAGAGCACAAGCCAGTTGAGACAATTGAGATACTTATGAGGCTTTGTACTGAGGAGCGAGAATCAACAAAGAGAAGATCTTCAAGTAGTACGTACTTGTCTATGTTGCCATCTCCTGTTGATTTTCTCAACATATTCATCCATCATCCAGAGTCTCTCATGGATTTTCTTGAAAAATACACTGACAAGGTTAAGGACTCTCCCGCTCAGGTGGAAATTCACAATACACTGTTGGAACTGTACCTGTCAAATGATTTGAACTTCCCATCAATATCGCAAGCTAGCAATGGTGTAGATATTTCACTCAAAGCAAAATCAGGAGCCCGTAGGAAATCAAAAGCAGAATCCAATGGAAAATTAATTACTGATCAGAAAGACACATTTAAGGAAAAAGATCGCACAGAAAGGTGTGAGAAAGGACTGCGTTTGCTTAAGAGTGCTTGGCCATCTGAACTTGAGCAGCCTCTTTATGATGTTGATCTTGCTATAATTATCTGTGAGATGAATGCATTTAAGGAAGGGCTTTTGTATCTGTATGAAAAGATGAAACTTTATAAAGAGGTGATTGCTTGCTACATGCAGGCCCATGACCATGAGGGATTAATTGCATGCTGCAAGAGGCTGGGGGATTCAGGCAAGGGAGGCGACCCATCTCTTTGGGCAGACCTGCTGAAATATTTTGGTGAATTGGGAGAAGATTGCTCCAAAGAAGTGAAGGATGTTTTGACTTATATTGAAAGAGATGACATCTTGCCTCCTATTATTGTCCTTCAGACCTTGTCCAGAAATCCATGTCTCACACTCTCTGTCATCAAGGATTATATAGCTCGGAAACTTGAACAAGAGTCAAAGTTGATTGAAGAGGATCGGCGAGCAATTGATAAGTATCAGGTCACACAATGCACTTTCTCTGACAAGTTATATTTTATACCCTGTCAATCCATTGTAGAAAGTATCTCTGAGCCAATACTCCTCAGGGGGCCACCGTTTGATTTTTTTTTTTTGTTTCCTCTTTTGCCTCTGATCATTTGCATTTGAGGATTGTTTCATCTCCTTACTTGGCATGCTTATATATATATATATAAAGAACCAGCTTATGATCACTCAAATTTGTGATACCCAATGACAATTAACTGAAAAAATATTCTAACTTTTCTTGCTTTGCACTTAAAATGGAAGTCATATTTGCTATTCATTGCTAAATAAGAGATATTCTTTAACTGTGCAGGAGGACACATTGGCTATGAAAAAAGAAATTGAGGATCTTAGAACTAATGCTAGGATCTTTCAGCTCAGCAAGTGCACTGCCTGCACTTTCACCCTTGATCTTCCTGCCGTACACTTCATGTGCATGCATTCATTCCATCAGCGTTGCCTTGGTGATAATGAAAAAGAGTGTCCCGAATGTGCTCCTGAGTACAGGTCTGTTCTAGAAATGAAAAGAAGTCTGGAGCAAAATTCCAAAGATCAAGATACATTTTTCCAGCAAGTGAAGAGTTCTAAGGATGGATTTTCTGTGATTGCTGAGTATTTTGGAAAAGGGGTCATTAGCAAAACCAGCAATGGCCATACAAGCCCTCTAAGATCAGGAAGTGCATCTCACAGCAGTGGCTTCTAAGGTCTTCTGCATGTTGGTCATTACTTTACTGTTTTTTATCCATTACCCTGCAAGTTTCTATTCAATGTTGTTTGGTAATAACTGAGCTACAACTCCTTTTACTATAATGCAGTGCTCCTATTATGGCATCCGTCGATTATTTTTCTGCCCAGTTGAGCTTGCCGTTCAGGAAACATAAAATGCCTGACTTCTGGGGTAATCAGCTTAAGAGATGCATCTATGGTAATCATCTGCATTCTTTTTAATGTCTAAACTACACTTGGAAACTATTAAATCTCTCAAGAGGAACATCAAATTGAGGATTTGGTCTGAAGTTTCATTGAGCTGTTTCTTCTTTTACCTTGTGAGTAGGAAATTTTGAGTCATGGCCACAAGATTTTTTTTTTTTTGTGGTGTTTGTTAGGCTTGTGATCTTGTTGGGTTTTGTATAGCTGATTTTAATTTGTATTAATAATGTACTTGAGAAGGGCAGAAGAGCTTGCTGTATTTATTGATTTTGATTAAAAAGATGGGAGATTGATCTTTATGACTGGTGATTTTATCCTCCTCATTTTTGAATTTGATGGCTAATGTTTTGAGTTTTCATTTTTGGATATGGAAGAGATGATATAATAAGCTTAATTTCTTCATGCAAGTCAACTTTGACTATGAGATTAGAAATTCATTGAATTTACAAAAACACCCTGAAGTTTTCCTTAATGCACAATTTGGTCCTTATGATTTTAGAATTAGCAGTTTCATTCCTTGTACTATAATTTCTTAATTATGGGCTTAACAATATTGTCTACCTGGAAATTTGATAATGGGGCCTTAGGCTTTTCAATTTCACCCACTCCTTGGCTGGTTTGTAATGTCTTTACATTTATAATGTTAGAATCTAAACTGAAGAAGGTTGGTATCTGTGAGCAATTTTGTGATTGTTTTCAGCCTTGGAGAAGTTGGTTGGAATCTAATTAATTATTAGTTAATCCAATCCCTTTTAATGCCAAGTACCTGATTGTGGACCCTAAAAAATTCACTCTTGCCCCATAATATCAGCATAATGCCAATTGTTGTTAGGACAGTTGACTGTCCTTGAGATTTAACTTTATACATGAGTGAATTTTTCTTATTTTGAAAATGCATTATCTGTTTCATTTTTTATTAAATTAAAAAATAAAGTGTCCATGAAAGCATATCAGAATACATAACATTGTCTAAAAATTATATGATATCATTGCCTCGTTCGTTCTCATTTGATATAAAGTAATTGCTTTGCTTTAGCTATAATATGAGCATATTAAGGACCTGCCAACATAATATAAAGTGCAAGTAATTACTTAACCATTTTATAGAAAATAAAGTGATAGCTAAAGTTAATTATAAGATAACCAATCAGATGTGATTTGCTTGATCGTTTCGCTTATGTAAAGAGTATGAGGTCTCAAATTCGAGTCTTCTAGACCTATGAAAACGCTACATGAGTTGTGTAACTCACACTGTTATTTCGACTTATTGAACTAATTATAAAATAATATCCAAAAATATCTTAACATGTTTGAAACTCCAATATTTCTTAGAGTCAATCTCAAATTTATTACTTCCTCAGTGTAAAGACAAGTTTGTTTTTCTTTTTTATTTGTTCCTAATTATAGAACACTTTGTTTTTTGAAAGATAAATTAATTAGAGGTTTTGATACGTTATTAATAATTTCTCTGATATACTCTATTTAATAGTCTTTTTATTAATAATTTTTCATTCCATTCTTTTTGGGAAGTGACATTTAATATTAATATATAGGTTTATTATAAAAAAAATGCAAGTAAAATTGGTCGTTTAAATTATGTAAATTAATTTTTCTAATACGTGTGAAAATAGAAATTGAACTATTTTTAGAAAAAGAAGGATACAATGTTTTAAAATTTCTCATATAACCATGATCCATCCATCTGGCCTCTCTCTCTCTCTTTTCTTGGGAACATTTTAGAGGTTTTTGAATTTACAAAAGTAAGTTACTTTTAATCATCTCTTTCCCCAAAAGCAAATTTTCAATCACATCCTACCAAATTTAATTAACCATAATCAACTTATAAATATTTTAAACAGAATTTTTTTTTTTTTTTTTTGACCGGAAATTAAAAGGAAAATTTTTACATAATGAAAAAGGATAATGAAGTAAGGTCCTACTCTTTGTTTTCGTAATTTATAAAAGAAGCAACGAGATCCACGTGTAAGGTCCTACACATGGATTGTCGAACTATGGATTATATCTGATTAAGAAAGATTTGATTTTAGACAACTATTGCAATTAAATTGACATGTGTACCTTGGATTGTCTCAACGTATCAATCAATTGGAATAATACTCTAATTTGCTTTTTTGGATGCAATTGCACTTTAATTAAAATAAAACAGATTCCAGAAAAATAAATGCGAAATGGACCTTTTATCTATATATATATATATATAATTTTGAAGAAAAAAAACTTTACAGAGCTGATTTGGCATTCTATCATTTGAGCTTTCCTTTTTATCTTTTTTTTTTTTTTAATAACTTCTTGATTTTTTTTTTTACAATTTTAATCTAATCTAATATTTAGTAAGTAGATAAAATCTAAATTAACTCAATTTTAAAAATCTAATATTATCCCTTATTATTAATCAACTATTCTCCTTTTGATTTTTGTTTCTCCTATAAGAGGAGTGGCATTTTATTGAAAATTTATAGATTATATATGTTTAATTCTCTGTATTCATGTGCTCGTATTCAGGTACATTTTTACTTCCTTTTTGTATTCAGATGCTCTTTTACTTCTTTCTTGTTTCTTTCCGAAATCAAGTGCTCTTTTACTTCTTTCTTATTTTTATTGAGGATTCAATTTATCTTAATTAGAACATAAGCTATCGATGAATCAACTAAATCTGCAAAAAATTTCACGAGGAAATTTCAGCTTTTAAGTGAATGTTGAGTTCAGCTGGTGTTTTAAAAATTATTGTACCAAGATTTTACAAAAGAAGGGACTCCATATTGATCAACAACCGTTAGATCTTTTTTTTTTATTTCTTATAATAATTATTTCTACAATTGGTAGAATTATTGTTGAATTGTATATTTAATTTTTTAGACACTATTTTCAATTTTCTCTTATCATATTTATATCTACAATTAGTAGAATTATTATTGAATTGTATATTTTATTTTTTAGACACGATTGTCTTTTATTGTAGAATAAAATTTAAAATTTTTTCGTATCAATACTTAATAGGATAGTTAAATCCTAATATAAATTCCCGTGATAACAATAATATAAACTGACCAATAAAATATAACAGTTGTACATTTAATTCTTAGAATTATCATTGAAATTCAAATAATTGCCTCTTTAATTTATTGATATTTTTAATATTTAAAGTTAATAAACTTTTTAACCGTGAAATTAAATTGAAATTTTTGTAATTTAAAACATTAATTCTTAAAAGTCATGTAGATTATGAAATAATATAAATGTATTAAAAATAATTTATAAATTATAAATAAATTGTAAATTATTATAAATTATAAAATATAATGTACAGTAATAAAACAACCCGTGCAATGCATGGGCTTCTCCTAGTTTGAAATAAAAAGCAAACAGGTACTATAACCTAAATATTTAAAGAATAAACAAAGAAATCAAATTCAAATATTTATATAATAAACAAGAAAAACCAAGATCGAGCCTTTGATTTTAGAATTGAGAATCCGTATTATTATATATATATAAATAAAAGCTTGTCACTGATTTAAGGTTACACTTTCTAAGAGAATCATAACTGATATGGTGATTCATTTGTGATTGTTAGTGATCAATATTTAATTTCCGGCAAGAGGATTGTAGGTTATACAATAAGAGATAGCCATCCCTTTAGCTCATTAAATTAGTGAAAATTATTCGATAAAATTTCTTTTTAGAGGACTCGAATGTGAAACCTTTAACTTCACCACACGTAGGACATATTTGATAAAATTATCTATTTTAGTAGTTTTAGCTATTTGAATAGCTAGTAGTTGTTCGAGTAGCTTTTATAAAATGCTAAAAGCTAAATGTTATAAGGATTAACCTTTTATAAAACATTACCTTAACATTTAAAAGCTAATTCAAATGTTATATTATTGACCATTTTAAAAAATAGCGTTTAACATTTTGACCGGTCAAAATGCTAAAAACTACTTAAAAAGTAGTTCCCTAACACGGTTTTAATTGACTTATGTGAATTTTCTTTTTCTAAATTGAATAAATAAATTTAATATATAATATCTAATTGGTATGTAATGCTCTTTTAGAATGAACTATATAATGATAATGAGTGCAAATTCTATTACTGATGAAAGTAATTCAATTGAATTTAAAAAATATATATTCTAATGAAACTGTGGAGATACAAATAAAAATTATTAAAATATAAAATAAATGGATTATATGACTGAAGAAAAATCCAATATTAAAAGAAAAGGGTCTACAATACATTTTCCGAGAGTATGAAAGAAAATATTTTAATTTCTCATATTGTTTAATCATTCATTAATAATGATAATAATAATAATAATCTTTGAATTCACAATTAATTAAAAATTTTAAAAATAAGTGTTAGTATCTCAATAATTATTAAAGCCAGAACATAATCTATTTTTAATAAGACTAAAAGAAAATTTCTCTTTTTCAATTCAATTAATTCATTATACTTTAATTTTATTTTTTTTAATTATAACATAATGATTTATAGTATAATATATATGAGGGACGTGGACGTGGTCCAGAAAAATGATAATAGAACGCAGGCGACGCCAGTGCACACATGCAGCACATGCATGTGCATGGAACGCATTAAATTCTCCTATTGCGTTCATATTTATTTAATGAATTTAAAATATAGAATTGATTTGTAAATAAATTATTTATATTTTGAATGATTAATTTAAAATATGTAATTTAATTGAATTTCGTATAATCATATATTAAATAAATTTATAATTGAAAATTTATTTATTTCTATTTTCTAAAATATAGTTGAAATAGTAATTTCACAAAAATAAATTTTTTTATATTTTTATTATATATTTTTATATTTTATAATATATATATGGTATATATAAAATAAAAAAATAAAAATAATATCAATAAAATTATTACATTTAATTTCATGATAAATATATATTTAACTTGAATTTTCCTTTCTCTATTAAAAAACATGCTAAAAATAAAAAGATGAAAAATATTAAAATAAAAAATAATAAGAAAATATTTTTCTGAAAAATAAATTTTATAAATGCTTTTGATTAAATTTAAGTAAATAAATAAGCTAAATAAGTAAATGAAACGACCCGAAAATTTAATTTCGTAGAATTTTCATTTAAAAACTAAATTTTTTATTTCAACCAATGAAATTATACCAGCTAGTATTTTATTAGACCCGTTTTAACATTTTGATTTTTTTCGCAAACCAGGCGAACTCGAAAAACCAAGCAAGTGAGCCAATCATTTTAGACCAAACCGGTTCGATCGACCGGCATGGTCTAGAAGCCCAAGATTTTTTTTTTCTTTTCTTTTTTTTCTTTTTCTTTTTCTTTCTTTTCTTTTTCCCTTTTTCTTCTTCTTCCTTGCGCAGGACCAAGCGCGCGACCTCAACCCTCCCGCTTTCCTTTCGCTTTTTCGGCCACCTTTGAAGCGCGCCGTTCTCGCCTCCGCCGCCGTTTCCCGTGCGCTCTTTTCTTCCCTCGATCTCCTGTTTGTCTCAGGCTTAGCGCGGCTGTTCGCAGGAAGCCTGCGATTCGTTCGATCGGGGAAGTTGAGTTGCCTCTCTTGTTTTTCCGGCGACTCGAGTGCAACGGCATTCCATCTTCTCTAGTCGACGGGTGAGCTCTAGCTCCTCTTTCCCGCGTTCCCTTTCCTTCTCCGTTCAGTAGCGCGAAATAAGGAGCTGCGAGATTGCAGGTCGTTAGGGCGATCGGGGACGTCGACTCTCGAATCTTCTTTGTATTTTCGGCGAACTGTCAGGGGCTGGCTGGTTACACCTTTCTAACACTTTGGCGACTCCAACGGCGCTTACCGTCTTCTAACCTCCGGCAGGGGACTCCGGCAGGGGGCAAATGTAGATAGCTGGAGCTGTTTCCGGTCATCCTAACCGGAAAATTCATTTTTCCGACGCTAATTGTTTAACTAGGTAATTAAATTCTAACCATTTATAATATGTTTATAGTTCCTTTAAATTTTATTTAAGGGGTATCATGAATTAAATAATATGGGTATAAGAATGTACATTTCTAGCTACTGTCAGTGTTTTGCTCAGGAATTATATAAGCATAGCTACTTAGGAATTATTATTTGAGTTTCTTGATGAAGTTGAGTGGGTTATTATGGTTAACAGTTTTGGTCTAGGAATGAGAAATCTAGCTATATCTATACATGTTAACTTAGAATTTTTAAGAGACATTGTTAACTATAATATAATGTATAAATTTAGTATAATTCCTAAGTATAAGCATAGCATAAATTTTACAACAATTAAATTACCAATACTTGAGCTAAGGTCAGTTAGTGCTCGATAATATTATTCTTGCTAGATAAACAATTTGATCTTGGATTTGCTTTAATTAAAATGGAAATGGTAGAGGTATGCCAAAATGGAGGAAAATGAAGCTTTAATTGAACTATAAACTGAAGTCTTACCTATATGATTGTACAGCAGGTTTTGGCCGAAAGAGTTAGAAACTTTAGATGCAGCGACCTTTCAGCTTTTTTTCCCTTGAGTTTTTGCTTTGATATGAATTATATGTTGTTGTTAAGTTTAAATTTTGATGGGAAATGAGTTAGTTTGTTTACTGTATATAAGTTTAAGTCAAGTAGAAGCTATTTCTCTTGGTGGGCAGCAGCTATTTCAGGTAACGGGTGCCCTTTTAGATATATTAACGTAGAAATATATATATATTGAATTTTTATTTAGGTTAACATCGATTCTTAGTGGCTAGTTTAGAATTTTAACAAATGTATAAATATATGTGGTTTATACCTTAAGCAAGGGTGATGAAGTAAAGGCTCGACGAGGAGTTTAGGAAACAATTAATAAAATCACTGGAACATGTTGGAGGTTATTTAATTTGTAGATAATTATTTAGTTGAACGTTGACATACTTGTACTGAAAGAGGATTGGGACTTAAATTGATTGATCCCGGCGGGATGGGCTTGCATTTGCATTGATTTTGAAAAATATATAGCTAATATTGTGATATTTGAGCGGTAGATTAGTCCAATTTTTAAGGAGGTGCTGCCCGAAATTTCAATAGAAACGTTAGACTAGTTTTAATGAAATGATATGATTAAATTAAGTTCATTCTAGATTTAATTTTATAAACTTGGTTACATAATAAATAGAGTGCTTGACCTTATTTCATTATCTTTATTACTTCATTTAAATTATTTACATATTTATTATTTATTTTATTATTGTTATACTATTTATTTATTATTTGCATTTGATTTGCGATGGTTAATTGTGCCCATTTGCATTACGATGTTTAATTGATTAAATATGTCTGCATTTGATTTGCAATGGTCTTGATTAATTGTGTTTTGATAATGCTATGCTTTGTTTGTGTGGAATTAGGATGGAAGTGGACCACCGTGGGTTTGATGAGGACGGTCTGTGATTATCGGATCCGAATAATTATATGATAAATTTAACCGGTTCGGCCCGGGAAAATGGAGATCGGTGCCCCGTGTGCACCTGATTTGATATGGATTATGGTGGAAAACCACAGGATGGCTTCTTGTTGTGCGCAAACCTGATAATCTAGATTTATGTAGCCCGCATGGTGGCCTCCTGTTGTGAGTCACTTGATGATCTGATTGGATGGAAGACCACCAAGGTTTGCCTCCTGTTGGTATGGAAAAGAAAAGGAGAGAATTGGAAATACAATTGAGAGGACTGGTCAGTGAGGATCTAGACCAGTCTGGCTGTATGGGGGATCGGCTCCCCTTGTGCATATTGTATGAGAGGCGAGCCATGTGTGAGGACGGCTCGTTGGGGTTTCGGTGGCGCCACTGACTAATTTCACGTGAATGTGATTATATGAAGATGTTTATGCATTGTGAGTGCTGGTGATTATGTCAATTTGTGTGACTGGCTGTGTGAGCATATAACCTAGTCGGATGACTAGGTTGATATATATTTATAACAATTGTGTGAATGGTGTGTATTGACAATAATTATTATTCAGTAATGTGAATGCGTGTGTTATGCAATAATTATTATTCATTAATAAACTCACATCTCTTTTGTTTAAATCTTTCAGGAAGTAGCATTTTCTAAATCCCAGCTACAACTTTGCTCTGCACTGTTAAAAAGAAATTCGCTAATTTTAGTATTGATCAATTAAATAGATAAATGTTCGAAGACTTATATGTATACTTCCGTCAGTGAACTCCGCAGTTATAGAATTTGTATACTTTGAAGTTGTGTATTATTATAGATGGAATAATTCTGTGAGCCTGTATTATAAATATAGTGTATTGTAAGCAGGAAAATTCGTAAATGTTTAAGATGTTATAAATTTAGGCTGAATGTTTAAAATTATATTGAGATAGCAAATTTGTAGTGTTTCAGGCTTACCACGGGCCTCGGGGGTCTTAAGCTTACCTGGGCTCTAGTGCCGGTCCGGCCCATGAAAATAGGTCGTGACAGTAAAATAATTGAAAATTTCACTCTATTGAAGGAAAACGGTAGTTTTGTCATAAAAAGTTGGATTGCTTAGTTTCGTGAGATTCATTTAGAAATTTCATTTATTTTTGTGAGATTGAATGTAGTTATGTTCAATTTCCATAAAATTGAATTCGTAGAATTAAAATCTAATTCCAAATATAAAAATGTGGATTCTATATAAATTTTATAAAATTTTGTAGAATTCATTTATTAAGGTTAACTAAAAAAATATTAGAAAACAATGAAAAATATTTTAATTAGTTTCCTAAAAAAATAATTATTAGTGTATATATATAATATATTATTATTAATCAAAAGCATAAAAGGGAGAGTAAGAGATATCGTATGAGGCCGACATGTCACATCACAAATTCTTCTTCAAATTATATGATCGAGACACCGTGGATCCACGTGGAGCCAATTGTGGAGCTGTCCTTACCAATTATCTACCTACCAAATTATTTAGAATAAAAAAATGTAAACTTTCTCACTTTCAATTTCATTTAAAATTGAATTTAAGTCAATTTTTAGTTTATGATTATTTTGTTTAATATTTGACAATAAATAATAAAAATTTAAACATTTTTTGGTTCTAGAATATTTTTTAAATATCAAATTTTGTAAAAATATAAAAAATGAAAAGAAAAAGAAGAAAATTTACTCCATTTGTTAAAGATGGAAAAATAAAACGAAAAATTTTCAAATTTCACATTTTCTATTATTTTAATTTTTAAATTTTTATCTAAAATTACAAATTTTAAAATTTATTTTTTGTTAAAAATAAATTAAATTGATTATAAATTTCGAAATTTACGTTTTAGATGAGTGTATAAACAATTATTTTATACCAAATTGAAGATCTAGCAAAAATTAGAATCAAATTAAGGTTTTTATCCAATTATCACAAATTTAATTTTAAAAAATTATTATTTAATCCATCGATTATAATCAAATACATAAATTATAATCTACCTTCAAAATTTAATTATATAATCCTTATGTTATATTTCCATCTCACTAATTTATTCCTCTGGTAAGAAATTTTTTTTGATTTGATTTTACTAATAAAATGTTGAAAAAATCAAAATTGCAGCATGAAGATGAAAAGAATACCCTTCTCATCATCCGAATTAAATAATGACAAGTCTTCTTTTATAAATTGTCGTTTTACGTCTTCTAGCTCACATGTCGTTTTTTATCTCTCCCTCTCAGTTGCCATGTAATCTAGTCTTATTTTAGGAATTCTGAATTTTGTTACAATTCATGCTTCTGTATATTTATATCAAGGGTTTTAACTTGAGCTTGGCATTTTCTTTTGCCGCAATATGTACTAAATTGTGCATCTTTCCATTGCAATTATTTTGTTACTTGATCTGGTTTTGTTTTAGTTTCTTTTTAATTGAAATTAGGTTTACGTAGGTAATATCATAGTTTTAGGACCGTTGATTTCAATTTTAAAATTTTCGATTTCGATTATAAACAGGGTGAAAATTGAACTGTAAACATATAGTTTTAATTATGGTTCGAAATCGAAAACTATTGATAACGGTTTGATGCCGATTTTAATCGGTTCAATTTTTATATAATTTTGATCTAAAACCAAACTGTTTTTACGCTTAGCTTTATAGAAAATTTAGAAACGGTTTATTTCTGTCCCCTTTTATTCGAGCGTGTATGAGAAAAAGAATAAAGTAGATTTATAAAAAAAAAAAAAAACAGGAAAAACAAAAAAAAAAAAAAAAACAGGTAAACACGAACACATGAATTATTATAAGGACAAAATAAAAATTTCTAGGATGGTTTGCTCCAGCCAATAATAAATGTATTTAGAGTAAATAAAAAAATGGATTGGAAAAAAATAATAAAATAAAAGTGTAAAGATTTTTTTTTAAATAGTAACTAATTATTATCCTTAAGTATAAATAGTCGTGGACGAAAATTTAAGGTTTGAGGCATGCTCAAATTAAAGTGGAACTCTTGATTCAGTATAAGGCAAGTCACATCAATAATATATCTATTACTAAAATATTTCGAATGAAATTTGAGAAATTCTAAAATATTTTTAATTATGATCAATCAAAAATGAAATTTTTGACTCTATTCATTTTTCATATAAATTGAAAATAAAATTTATATTCTTTAATTAATTATGTTCTAAATTTTTTAAAATATGGATAAACATTTTACTATTAGACTATATTAGTCAAATATAATGAAGTTAAAATAAAATTTTGAGATATATTATTTCTCCTTAATTTTTTTGGACACGATGATATACACTTATTATTTACATATTATTGCATTTGACTAATATCATATAAAAGTTTTTCCTTTTTCAAATGAAATCTTATTAAAAAAAATACGCGGTAAAAGTTTGAATTAATGAAAAGAATGGTTATTTGGCAATATTAGCTATCATTTTTATTTTCAATTTTTCTATATTAAAGATGAAACGATAAATAAATTCAAGAGCTCTTTTTTTATTCAATATTAGATATTAGTTATATTTAAAATAAGTTTTTGAAATAAAATCAAACTCGAAAGAAAATTTAAACTAAAGATACCTCAAGTTGCACAACTTAAAAAAAATAGCACAAGACTAATTTAGATAATGATTATTAATATAATATTTTTCACACTATAGCGGACCAATAGTTTAAAAAGAAAATAAATGAAAAATGCTATTTTTTAGAGTTTCAAAAAAAAAAATTTATTTTTAATGAGAAGTAGAAAATTTTTTTTCAATTAGATGTTAGAGTGCAAGACACGTAACAAAAAGATATCATTTTATAAATAAAGTGCAATACAAATTAATTATTATATTTATTTTAATCTAAATAAGAATTTATACTTTATTTATTTTAATCTAAATAAGAATTTATACTTTAATATTATATAAATAAAAAATTAAACGAGTTAAAATGAGTAGATAATAAGTAAAGTCAATGTGCAATGTATATCATAAAAAAAATTAGTATATATAAAAGTGAGACGGTGGGAACAATAAAATTGTCAAAAATGTTCCTATTAAGTTTATGGATTGATAAAAATATCGTTGAGAATTTTAATTTTATTGGTTGAAAAAAATAAATGTAATTTAATTTTGATTAGTTATAAAAAATTTGTATTTAAATAAAATTATATTAGCTAAAATAATATATTATATCATATACTATATAATGTATATATTAAATGTGACAAATATATAATATTTTAAGGATTTTAATCTTGATTGATATTTTTTAATTTTCTATTTAAATTTAAATTCTGTCAAATAAATTTAATTTATATTTTAAGGATTTTAATCTTGATTGATTAATTTTCTATTTAATTTAAAATTTTTTAATTTTCTATTTAAATTTAAATTATGTCAAATAAATTTAGAAATTATATTATACACTAAATAAGATATATATTAAATATGGTAAAAATATAATATCATTAAGGATTTTAATTTTATTGATTGAAAAATAAAACTAATTAAATTTAATTAGTTATATTAATTTCCTATATTTTTTTTCTAAAGAAAAAAAAAGAATGTACTAAAACACGTTTTTTTTTCTCTCTAGCCTTTTAATCCTAATTTTGTTTAAGGGCTATCATTGTTTCTGTAGCCTTTTAACCCTAATTTTATTTTGAGGGTGTCGTTGTTTATCATTGGTAATCCTACCTTTTACTCTTTTTTTCGCTTCACCTCCTTTTGCTTTTAATTACTATAATAAATTCAAATCTGTTTTTCTTACAATAAATCTATCTTTTTTTTGGATTTTGTTATTATTATTTTGTCTACAAATTTGGAGTTTTTTTGTCCCTTCTTTATGAGGGATTATTACTAAATAAAAATATTATATTTGAGTTTATTTGATTGGAAACTTTATATCTTGATTTGTAGGCATGAATCTTTGATCAATGAAATCTGGTAGTGTGGCCTGTAGGGGTGAGCAAATTGTAGAAAAAACCAAATATCGAACCAAACCAAATTATTTTCAGTATTTGGTTTGGTTATTTGGTTTTCAATTTTAGGTTCAGTTTGAAATCTTATATAATTTTGATTTTCAATCTTTGGATCGGTTATTCAAAAATATTTATTTTCTAAGTAAAGCCGAACCAATACCTATCTAACCAAACCAATTCGTTTGATTTGATTTTCAAATTTATTCCAGTTTGGTTCGATTTCAAAGAAAATCCACTTTCGATTTTTGATTTTTGCAATTCGGTTTTATTCTGAATCAAATCGCCTGTTTGCACACCCCGAGCGACCTATTCCTCTATTGATGCTATAGACACATAATGGCATAAACTCATTTGTGTTCGTCATATGTTGCAAATTCTTGAAGAAAACAATTCAGGTATAGAAGATCCAAAATAATTATTATCTTGTCGTCCAAATCAATTAACGGACTAATTGTTTTATATCTATTGTCAAGATCAACTCCAAGTGGAAAAATGTAATATTATATTTTTTTTAATATTAGTTTCATTGTTCAAAAGAATATGAATTCTTTTATTTTGTTAAAAGATCAACGAACTCAATTAGCTATAAATAGTAGAATTCTACGTCTGGTCTATATGAGTATTTGTAGTTATTAATAATATTATTAATGAATTATATTTTGAAAAAAAAATATTAATTTCTTATGTAAATCTAAATTCTATTGGAGAAATTTTATATATATATATGGTAATAAAATATTGATTATTAATAAAAAGTTTTGATTGTAAATAATAGATTAAACGAATAAGGTATATTACTTATTTGGTATATTCTAATAAATAATGAATTGATTACAAATAGTAAATAATAAACAAGATGTTTTGCAAAGTGTAACAGCCCAGCCCATGGTAGATATTGTCCGCTTTGGGTGCCAAACCTGGCCTGAACTCTCACGGTTTTATTTCTGGGCCAGGGAAAACCTCCGCTCTGCCAGCCCAAAACGCCTCGCTCTGCCAGTCAAAAACGCGCTCTACCATTGTTCAAGGTTGCCACCCTTTATGTTACAGGGACTTCCACCGTTGTGCGTAGCCGATGTGGGATTCGCTAAGGTTGTTGTGCCCCAACCTGGGATGTCAATCACCCCCCCTTAAAGGACTCAGCGTCCTCGCTGAGGTTTGCCCCACCACCGGCCAGAGGGACAAGGCTTGCTTGATACCAAATTGTAACAGTCTCAGCCCATGTAGATATTGGTCCGCTTGGGTGCCAAACCTGGCCTGAACCCGCACGGTGTTTGTTTCTGGGGCCAGGGAAAATCTCCGCATGCCAGCCCAAAACGCGCTACCATGTTTAAGTTGCCACCCTTTATGTACTGCCACCCTTTATGTATAGGACTTTCACCTTGTGCGTAGCCGATGTGGGATTCGCCTAAGGTGTTGTGCCCCAAACCTGGGATGTCACACAAAGAGTATTTTATGGCAATCTATAGTGTTTAGGGTTGCATGTGGGTCGGGTTGAGCCGGTTTTATTAATTTAAACTACTTGATTCGTATATGCGGATCAATGATTTTTTTGACAAACTAATCTATTAAATGTGCAACTCACATGTTATAAATAGATTGAGTTGGATACGAGTTTAATCTAAATCCGCGGGCAAAAAAATATGAATAATAAAAATATTTTTAAATTAAATACAACTATTTAAGAAGAATTACCAAAAAAAAAAAAAAACCTTAGAATGTACAATAATCTTTCACAAACTATAAAATATATTATAATAAAAAAAAAAAAAAAAAAACCTTAGAAACTTAATTGTACAATAATCTTCACAAACTATAAATATATTATAATAACAATATTAAATTTAAATTTCTTAATATGATCATCATTATTATCATCATCATAATCATAATCAGCGGTAACAACAATGAAAAATTAAATTTTCTAATTACTGGTAAAATTAAAATACATAGTAACGATATGTTTTAAACTATAATATACTCCAATAGCAACAATTCAAAACAAGTTTATATTAAAGAAAAAAAAAAACAATAATCTAAAAGGCAATGTCTACTAAATATGTAAATAATTTATTTTTATATTCAAAATTGCAAATCAAATCAAATTAATTAAATAATTCATAATTACACATAAATATAAATATATATTTAATATTATTTATAGGTTGGATTGCGTTTGTGGTTTTATCTAGTGAATTGTGACACAATTCAATCCAATCCGTGAATTATAAAGATGACCCACTCAATCCAACCCATTATTTTGTCAAATCCTTCGGGTTAGTTTAGGTTGGATTGAGTTGCTCGATTTAGAACGAGTCATATCCAGACTTAATAATATTTATAATATATATAAAATTGAAAATGGGAGAATATCGAGAGCTCGAAAAAAGCCTCCACTAAGTGTATGGATTGACAAAAAAATCATTAAGAATTTTAATTTTATTGGTTGAAAAATAAAAGTAATTTTAATTTTGATTGTTTATATTCATTTCCTCTTTAAATTTAAATTTTATTGAATAAAATAATAAATTATATTATATTATGTATAAGGTATATATTAAATATGGTAAGAATAAAACATGTTTGAGGATTTTAATTTTATTAGTTGAAAAAATAAAGGTGATTAGTTTTGATTGGGTATATGGCAATAATATATTATATTTAATTATTACTTTTAATGTATCTTTAATTTAAGTGATTATAATTATTTTCTATAAAATAACTCTTATTCTACAAAAATAATTATAATTTAAATATAATTTATTATTATTATTAAGAAATATATTTGAATTTATTAATAGAAATACCTCCAAAAAAGTTTTATTAACAGAAATAATTTAATTTACATATTATTGATATTTCAATTTATATAAAAATTTAAAAAATGTTAATAGAAATAATTTTATGAATGAAATATTCTAACTTAGCAATAATATTTTTCTTATACTTTAGAGCCTGTTTGATTCAATTCTATAAGTCAAAATTTTGTTAAAAATTCAATTGAATTTCTTGGTCGTTTGGTTTCAAGATAGTTTAAGAAATAAAATTCAATCTTTTAAATAATATTATAATGTGAAATTCAATTGAATTTTATATTTTAATTGCATAAATTCTATTCAAATGATTTCCACGGCTCCAAATAGTAGAAGTCAACTAAACGCTTCGTTATTGTTATTGTTAGTTACTATCTTCTCCATATAGTTCAGTTACTGGATTTCGAAAAGAAAAAGGTAAAGAACAGCAAGTGAAGAAGCAGGAACTGAAAGGCGCTTGAAGTGGAGGCGAGGAAGAAGAAGGAAGTAACGGAAAACAACACAAACAAGTCAGTCTCGCGAATGTAGTTGTGGGGTCAGGGGTGGAGAAATTTTATATATATATATATATATATAATATATAATATTGTTTAAAAAAAAAAAAAAGAAAAAAACGAACTAAACCATCAGATCAGAGTCCCATAAACCAAAAAAAAAAAAGGAAAAACCGAACTAAACCCAATCAGATCAGAGTCCCATTAAACCGACACAAAGAGACTGTGCCGTTGTCTTTTCACTCTCTCCTGTTTTTGCATTATCATCTCTTTCACAGACACACTCTCTCTCTATTTATTTTTGTTTATTTTTTATTTTCCAAATCTCAAATGGAGCGAAACTCGCTTCATTAATTTCCACACTCTCCCACACGGTCAGTATCCATCTCTCTCTTCTCTCCCTCGCTTTCTGTTTGCTTCACTTGGAAAAGGAAAAAAAAAAAAAAAACAAAAAGGGGAAGATTATTATTTATTTTTATTAGTATTTTATTAAATATGTATTAAAAGGCTTTGGTAAAGGGAAAGCTAAATTTGATTCAAAGTGCTCTTGTTTCTGAATCCGGGAATTTTCATTTATTTTCTTGGGAATCAAACCGAGTTCTGATTTTGCTTTGGTCTTTGTTTTTGAGTGAAAAATTGGATTGAATTTTGTGAAATTTAGATTCTGTTTGGCTTTGAAGGTTAGGTAATTTTGGTTTGGGGACATTTACTAAGGAAATGAGCAAAGAAAGGCCGCCTGAACCTCTTGATTTCTTCATTTGGACTGTTGAGGTAATCGATTTCTTCCAATATTCTTTTCTTTTTCTAAAAAGAAATAATATATATAGTGGATCTTCTGTTAGATCTTGTTTATACTGGTGACAATTTTAGTCGCTGTCAAAGCGTATTTTTAATATCGGGGTTGGAAGTTCTGATTGTGATGCTCAATTTTATATATGATTATGTAAGGCAAATGATTTTTTTTTTCAATTTTTGTGTGTTGGGTGAATTTATGTTGTCATATTTCAATTGTCATTTTCATTTTTTTAGTGATGGTGCCGTGGAGGCATTTTGTTATTTTTGCAATACAAAACCAATTGACTGAATCAAAGGAGAAGTGATGGTGCTTAGTTTTCCTAAGCACAAGTGATGATTTCCGAGGCAGTTTTCTATGATCTCTATATGTTACAAATTTGTTCTTAAGGGTTCCTAAGGTGTTGTAGTCACTTTCAGAATATGGTTTTAGCTATCACTTACAGGTGCTCCAAACTATCAATGAATAAATACCTATTTTATTTCGATCCCCATGTACTCTTTATGTTTGTTAGTTGTACACTTGTTACTTAGTCAGTCATGTTATTTGGGTATAGCACTGGAATTCTTGCTTCTAGAGTTTCTGTCTGCATAAGCCAGTCATATTCAATGATAAACTGAAGGAAATAGTTTGTTTGCTGAGGTACTGTGTTTGTATTGTTGTCAAAATAGCTGTCTCCGTTAGCTTTTTATGTGGGAATTTATCCTTTTCTTCTTGTATACTCTGAGCTATGGTATTTAGCATTACTTATATTAGCACTATTGTTCTGATGATGGGTTTGTAGCTTAAAATAGGTGCTTAAACTAATTGTTGCATGAAAAAGCAGTGTTAACAGTGAAGTTCGTTGCAGAATTTTATGCTTGGTGGTAGAAGGATTCTTAGATGAAGATACATTCCATTTCTATAAGGATGTTTGAAAGGTAGAAATATTGGGTTTGCCTACAAACATCAAACTTAATTCAGCATGAGAATATTCACAAATTAATAAGTGGCAAATGTTTTTCTGCTAATTACTTTCAGTTAATTATGTTAGTATTGCATAGTTTGGAGTACCCTTTGGGGAATGTAAGGATATCATGAAGATGATTCTCTGTTGGGAGTACTGTTACATGTTGCTAAACAAGAGAGAGCAAGAACTAATGCACTTAGCTGGTAATGACTGATACAGACTAAGTATGGTGCAACAGAGATCAACCTGTAGTTTAACGTGAGATATACTATGATAAGTGATGATAATCTTGGATTATAATGAAGTACAATGATTTTCCAAATTAGTGACATACCTATAGCAATTATTTAAGAGCCATCAAAATTGTGTCTTGAGATACTAGGTGCGATTTGGAATCCCACATTACAAAAGAGTGGACTAGGTATGGCAAATATAAGTGGAAAGAACTCATAGGTCATGCCCATAAGGTTTTGGATTATGACGAGGTGTTAAGCCCATGAAGTAGATTTCCCAAAGAAGTTGGGCTGTCTGATACTATATGTGTTTTCCTTTTATTTTTTTGTTCAAATGCGAGCATGCAAAGTGATAAGGTAGGAACCTGCATCAATAAGATAGCATGGACTAGATTAATTAATGATCAAACGATCATTTTCTCATGAAGAATGCAAAATGATGCGACTTACTTTTGCTCATTGTCCAAAATTATGATTTTGGTTGGGCAGACCTAAATATTGCCTGATAATTTTGCTTTTCTAGACAACTAAAAACTTGTCAGTGATCATAATTGACAAATAGCAAGTTATATCAGGTTATTATCTTGATTGAAATGTTCTCAAATTTATCTGGATATTCATGCATGCCTTGTACCGTAGAGACTAATCTTTTGGCTTGGAATGCCTCTTCTCATTTGGCTAGGATGTGGGTTTGTGGTTGGAAGAGATAAACCTGGGTAGCTACCGACAGATTTTCAAAGAGAATGGTGTCAATGGAGAGTATTTAGAGGGCATGTCCATGTTCACAACTGAACAGATTCTACGGTTTATAAGGCGGTGCCACATGAAATGGGGAGACTTCATCACGCTGTGTAAGGAGCTCAGACGAATAAAAGGTCCTCCCCCCCTCTTTCTGTGTCTTGCAGCTAACTAAATCTTTATGAAAATATTGCCTGCTTGCTATGTCCTTAACAAGTTAACTGTGTGTGTGAAGACACTTTTCTTCTAACTTGCAAAAGACTTCCATGATAGCAGGCATCAGAGCTTTGCTCATGGTGTTTCATATAGTGCACTTTTGTATGAACTTCAGATTCTTTCTAATTGCTAAATTACCTTTAAGTTTTAACGTACTTTAAGGTCATATTCAACATGTTTAATACGTACTGACTATTTATAAAGGTTGAAGGAATTTCTATTACCGTTTCCTTCTTTGCAATTTTAGCTTTGAGAAGTTAATAAGTTGATAATCTCAAAAGTTTGAAGTATGGAATAGGCTAAGCCATAATTACTGTTGCTCCAGTTTTGTGCATTAGTGCATGTCTTCTTTTTTTTCCCTTCTTTTCCTTGAGCAGATGTGTATGTGGGATCAACCCATGGGAAAAAATAATTGATATTTTTGATTTTCTGTACCGTCTTAGAACAAGGTTTGGCATTGTTGTGGATGAATGAATAAATGCATGCTCTGGCATGCCTTAATTTCAAACGTCTGACTTTATTACCAAATTCCAGTCAGGTTATTTAATTTCAATTTGTACATGGGTATCACAAAAGTCACTCGTTTTTATTTTGTTTCAATGAAGGCACTATTGCCTATCCTTTGTGTTAGCTAGGAAAAGCCTAATTTTAATTGTAAAACTATATTTGAACAATTCTTGGTCAACATGTAAAAATTTTAAATTAGACTTTTCAAAATTTATCAGCATTGACCTCATTTAAGCAAAATTGAAGCTAAATGTTTTTCTTGTGCAAAATGAAAGTGCTATACTGGAAATAGGTGGGTATTGAACTTGCATTGGATGTAGCTTCGAAAATGAGTGACTGAGACACACATGCTTTTTTTTTTTTTTAAATCCTACTTTTTCTAGATTAAGATTTTAATTGAGTTGCTTTTATTAACATCATTCCAGTGGCTTGCCTAAAAGGAGAGCAAAAAGTTCGCCGGCCATGGTGGGCTCCGTCTTGCCTCTCTATAGTCTTTGTCAAGGTAGCAAAACGCAACAGACAGTCACGAGTTGTTTCTTTGAAGCTGGAACCCTGAAGGAAAAAAGAAAATCGTACGTGTATGTATTTGTAGTTTTGTTTTTGCTTAGGGAACAGAATAGTAGAGAACTCAAAAACTTTTGTTGTCAATCTGGCAAGATCTTGCTGAAAGTTCTTCAATGGAGAACTTTCTTTCATATACGGGCTTTTTTTTTATATATTTATTCCTGATGATTTGTAGTTATACTTCTGTTTCAATCTTGAGAGCAGAATATGAATGTCATGTCAAGAAAATCACTGTAATATTGTTCAGTTGAGAAAAAATTTGCTCTTGGACATTCTCCACAGAAATTTTATAGCATCAATCTTTCCCTGATTATTTAACAACCAAGAATGTTCTTTGCTCGCATAATATCATTTGCTTGTGATGATTTTTTCTTTGAAGCTTTTCGAAGAATGACATTATTCACATAGAAGAAGATACAGTGAAGGTAATCGTTATTGTTTACACATTGCTACACGTACAAATGAAGTTCAAAATATGAAATACTGAGTGTTCATATTTTGTAGTTGGCTGCATCTATGCGATTTGGGTTCTTCTGAACTGCCATTTTCCCTTCTTTGTTATGTACCAAATTTGGATTCCTCTTTGTAATGCATTCCTCACCCGCAAGTTTCAAATTTTGGTAGTCTTTGTCCTTTTGCATAACATGGTCATCGAGTATACCTGAGAAGTTCACGTGTCTAAGCACAAAAATTGACTCCAACGTTCAATTATATGAAACGGATAAAAGAATGACAACCAATTAACGAGCTTATAATATTATGCTTCAGTCTTTGACTGAGAAAATTCCAACAATTTTCTTGTCATAGGCTTCAATTTAGATGACAAAATTGTAATAAGGAAATTCTAAATTAAAAGCTGAAAATTTTTTTTTTGTGGTCATAAAAATTTTGGTTCGTAAAATATCTTAATTAACTAATGACTAATAAAATGTGTTTTGTTAAAAAAAAAAAAGTACTTGGCTATTTAAACTTGTTGTTGGATCAACAAATATTTTTAGTCTACCAAGTTATTGGCCCATTTAAATTATTAACAGCTCTCTCTCTCTCTCTCTCGTTACAAAAGGGCAAAGAAAGCAAAGCTTCTACAAATATATCATACTAAATTGATCAAATCTTTTATGGTCGAGCAACTTTAATTCGAAATCTTCCATTTTTCACATTAATGAGAAGATCATCTATATTAAATTTATAAAAATAATTATTGTAACTCTAATGCTTATTTTACAATAGCTATTATTATTAAAATTTTACTTAATAACAACACTTATTATCTAGCAGTATTGGCTATCCGCTATTAGCTAAGTTATCAAGTGTCACGAATTAGAAACTTTGGTTAGTGGATTTAATTTTATTTCAAAATCAATACATACAACCTTAAAAAAAATTATAGTTGTTCTCAACAAATTTTCATGTTATTGAATTATTGAATAATTATTTATTATCTATACTATCAATTTCATCATCCATATATATAGTGTTGATAAGCATTTTCTTTGTAAGTTACTTCGTAGATATAATCAGGGTGAGCATAAGTCGGAACTAATCGAAAAATCGATTGGTTTTTGTTTTGATTTGGTTTTAAACGGTTTTCGATTTGGATTTCATTTCATATAGTGATAAATAGTTAAAATTCCCAAACTAATAATATACTGAAATAAAATTATAAACTCTGAACCGACCGACTTCTGTTTAAAGTCGGTTACGGTTATTCCGCTGATCGGTTCGAATTCGGTTAACATTTTCCCTCCTTTCTTCGGTTTCGGTTTGGAAACTAAACCGACGGTTGCACATAATGCGTACTGAAAATCCATAAGCTCGAGCGCATCCGATCACAACTCCACCTTCACATTCCTTCTTCGAGCATCCGGAGAGGAGAAAAGAAAAAAAAAAAAAAAATTCAAAATTCTCCCACTCAACAGTTTCACTCTCATTTTCACCAGCCTATAAACCCTAAACCTCACATTCATTTACTCTACCTGTCTAAGAAAAAAGCTTGAAGCAATGTTCTCTCCAGCAACCAGGAGGACGCATTTCAGCTCCCGAAAGGACCGAAATCTAGGGCAGAAAGCAACTGATTCTCCGATTACACCTGCAACAGATAGCCGTAAATCTCTTCACGACAATTCAATTCCTGATCGGCCTAGCACCGGTACTCCTGCTCCTTGGGCTCCTCGCCTTTCTGTTCTTGCCCGGTATTTTTATTTGCTTATCACAGTCTTCACTCTCTTTATTCTGTATCACGCTTACATAATTGTATTTTCAAGTGCCACATTATAATGCTAATTTTCAACTGTATAGTTATGATCGATTGGAGATGTCAGTTGGCAGTAATATATGTATGTGAAAACTGTGTTTGCTTTTATTCAAGTGCTGGATTATATTGATTTTTGATTTTTTAAAGCCTGTGATGTTAATTGAAGTTATTTTTTGGGCTAGAATGCGCCAGTATTTCATGTGATTTTGTGTGGATGAAAATGGTATGTGACTTTTTTTGGCTAGTACTGCGGTAATGTGGTAATAATATTGAACTGCGTATATCAAGTGTTCTTTTGTAGAAATCCTTGATCTTTATGAAAGGAAAGGAAAATGATTTAATTAAGATGGACAAATTTTTGGGAACATATGCAAATGGAAGAGTGCATGATGCGAGGTTTAGTATCTTGTAGAATATAAAAATCACGTCTCCTAGAGATGGTTTAGGATCTTGAAACTGTATATTATTTATGGAATGGCTGCTCCCTGGGCTTGAACCCTGTGTGCTTGCCTAGCGCTGTCCAAAACTTCTCCATAGAACTGTTCTGAGTGATCCACATCTAAGCATATTTGCTTCCATTTTATTCAGGGAGCGCAGCCAAGTTGTTATGGCTGAATAGAACGAAAATATGAGTATTAAGAATTTGAAATTGAAGGGAACTCATGTAGATATATTTTATCTTGATGAGGACCTAGATTTATCTTGCATGCATACAATATACTGGTGTGATGGATTGACTGAATACCGTTTTCTAACTTATTAGTCTTTCCCTTCAGTTGCATAGAAATGAAGGAATGATGAAAGTTAAATTGGATTTAAAAAGAAGCATATGATAAAGCTTTGGAAAGAATCAGAAAGGATCGTAGATCTTTCTGATCCCACTAGATACATTTCTCTACGCGTAGTTGTTCAATAACCCACCATCATTTTGTTGTTTGCCTCAGAGAGTTATGTTTTTCAGTATTTTTTAGTAGGTAGTGTAATGTTAGTTTTGATATTTCTTATTTTTTGCTCCTAGTATACAACCAGCAAACAAAAATGAGAAAGGGAATGAGGTAGATCCAATTAAGCCTGTATATGTTGGAGACTTCCCCCAAGTAGTTCGTGATGAACAGGCTGGCTTTTTGCAGAAGCATTTTCTTGGTTTGTACTCAGATAAAATTTTTTTGACTATTATCTGTTTTTAGAAATGTTTCATTAAACTTCTTAGGCTATTTGGCAGACAATGTGGGTGTATCTGGTGGAATGGATAAGGAATCATGCCTTTCTTGGATTCTCTGTGGAAACAGACTCTTTTTATGGAGTTACTTATCCTCTGTGGCTTCAAAAGATTGCGTTGTTCTTGAACTTCCTTCACATGTTCTGGATATTAGAGACATTGGGAAAGGTCCCTATGATGGTGGCAATTGGATGCTGTGTGTTGTCAATTGGGATAAATCCCGCAGAAGAATTAAGAAAGGTGTACAGGGTTCCAATTCAGCTGGTATTGTAATGTGTAACAAAAAATCTCAAGCAGTTGTCTACTGGCCTGACATTTACTCTGGAGGGGGATCTACTCCTGTTTCCAATCTATCTTCTGCTGATGAATTGGAAGTAACTTCTTCCTCTCTTGATGGCAAGACCACCCCAAACGGGCAACGACAATATAATAAGCCTGGAAGTAGTTCAAGTCGATTGAATTCTTTCAACTCTTTGATTGCAGCTCCAATGCCTGCCGTCCAGCAGGTGTGTGTTGCTTTGGTTTGTAGTTCCAGTGGTGAGCTATGGCAATTTTATTGCAGCCCAACTGGCATTCAACGTAGTAAAGCATATAGTGACATAGTACCTGCATCCTTTAAAGGAAATGATAATGGTCAATTTGTTTCGAGCAAGGGATATCCAAGGTCACTTATTTGGCATTTTTCACTCCATTCTGAGGATTCTGAAAGACAGTTTCTTCTGTTGACTGATCATGAGATACAGTGCTTTAATATTACATTTCAACCTGATTTAAATGTATCAAAGCTCTGGTCCCATGAAATTGTTGGCACTGATGGAGATTTGGGCATCAAGAAGGATTTGGCAGGTCAGAAACGTATCTGGCCTTTGGATGTGCAGGTGGATGATCAGGGTAAAGTGATCACCGTTCTCGTTGCTACATTCTGTAAGGACAGGGTTAGCAGTTCAAGCTACACGCAGTACTCTCTTCTGACCATGCAATATAAATCAGGAGTGAACATATCTCCTAATATAAATGAAAGAGTTTTGGAGAAAAAAGCTCCAATCCAAGTGATAATCCCAAAAGCAAGAGTAGAAGATGAGGATTTCTTATTTTCCATGAGACTTCGGGTGGGGGGCAGGCCATCAGGCTCAGCAATCATACTTTCTGGAGATGGAATGGCAACAGTATCCCATTATTATAGGAACTCAACCCGACTTTATCAGTTTGACCTACCCTATGATGCAGGAAAGGTTTTGGATGCATCTGTTCTTCCTTCTGAAAATGATGGTGAAGATGGTGCATGGGTTGTATTAACAGAGAAAGCTGGAATATGGGCAATACCAGAAAAAGCTGTTGTACTTGGCGGAGTTGAACCACCTGAGAGAAGTTTGTCACGTAAGGGAAGCTCAAATGAAGGATCTGCACAGGAAGAAAGAAGAAACATCACATTTGCAGAAAATGTTGGTCCTAGAAGAGCTAGTTCTGAAGCATGGGATGCTGGTGGTAGACAAAGGGCTGGTATGACTATTGCACATAGAACTGCCCGAGATGAAGAATCGGAAGCTTTACTTGGTCAGTTTTTCCAAGATTTTCTGTTAACAGGGCAGGTTGGTGCATCATTTGAAAGGCTTCAAAAGTCTGGGGCATTTGAAAGGGATGGAGAAACAAATGTTTTCGCCCGGACAAGCAGATCTATTGTTGACACCTTAGCTAAACACTGGACAACCACTAGAGGCGCTGAAATTGTGGCTTTAACCATAGTTTCCAACCAACTAATGGATAAACACCAAAAGCATCAAAGATTTCTTCAGTTTCTTGCTTTATCCAAGTGTCATGAGGAGCTTTGTTCTAAACAGAGTATGGTTTATTGTATATTTCAATTATGTGTCTATGCATATTTTCTTCTGTTTGTAGATCATATTGAGAATATTTATAAAGCTATCTTAGTTTGGGATGGGCTGGGGTACTTCTTTACTAATATATCGAGTCAATAATAAATGAAGAAAGAAACACTTGAATGAATTGTGAAACTTGTGAAGCCTAATTGGAGCTTTCTTTTGCAGGACAATCTTTGCAAATTATCTTAGAACATGGCGAAAAGCTTGCTGGAATGATTCAACTGAGAGAACTGCAAAATGTGATCAGCCAGAGCCGTTCAAATGCAGCTGGATACCCATATTCTACTGCAGAAGCTCAAAGTTCAGGAGCTCTTTGGGATCTTATTCAGTTAGTTGGTGAGAGAACCCGTCGGAATACTGTTCTTCTTATGGATAGAGACAATGCTGAAGTGTTCTACAGTAAGGTGTCTGACCTTGAAGAAGTATTTTATTGCTTAGACAGACACTTGGAATATGTAATAAGTGAGGAACAACCACTTGAGATTCAGATCCAAAGAGCTTGTGAACTCTCAAATGCTGTTGTCTCTGTAGTTCGCAAAGCTATACTTTATAGAAATGAGCATAACATGTGGTATCCGCCACTTGAGGGCTTAACACCTTGGTATTGTCGACCTGTGGTGCGCAATGGGCTGTGGAGAGTTGCATCTTTCATGCTTCAGCTGTTAAATGAAACTACTGGACTCAGTAGTTCCATAAAATCAGATTTGCATAGTCATCTAGAAGAATTGGCTGAAGTTCTTCTTGAAGCATTTTCTGGTGCTATTACAGCAAAAATTGAGTGTGGAGAAGAACATAAAGGTCTACTAGATGAGTACTGGACTAGGCGGGATTTGCTTCTTCACTCCCTCTATCAAAAATTGAAAGATTTTGCTGAGGGCAGGCATCAGGTAATCTTTCTCTATTGAGAATTTTGTACTTTGATGCCAAAATTAAATATAAACTGCCTCTTTGCTATTCTTCTTTTCAGGTCTTGAATGTAGGATCTAATGAACCAAATAATGAAATCCTAAGAAAGCTTTCTTCAAGATTGCTATCAATTGCAAAAAGGCATGAAGGGTATAATACCATGTGGAGTATATGCTGTGACCTCAATGATTCTATACTTCTCAGAAATCTTATGGTAATTTTTGTTGTTTTTGGCTTTAAAATATAAAAAGGCATGCATTCTACATTTACTCCTTGTTTTTTTAAAAAAGAAAGGGCTGTTTGGTATCATTTCTATTTCTAGTTTTAAGTATATATTTTTCTAAACCAAAGGTTCGTTTCTTGGAAATTGAGTTAATGAAACAAGTAAAAAACCACTTTTTGTGGTTTTCCATAGCTGTGCCTACCTGTTTTTCTGTTTTTAAGATGCAAATAAAAATGAATTCAGTTTAATAATGGATCTTTCTCTCACACTTGAGAAACAAAAACCGAAAACAACAATAATACTAAAAGGGGCCCAAAGAAACGGATAAATTTCCTGAACAGACCTGGTTGTTAGAAGCATCATTTGCATCAAGTTTCCTTCTAAGTGATGCCTCCATAAGAATGAGACAATTAATTTTACAAGTAGCACAGATGCTTCAGAGTAGAAAGGTGCCACAAGCTTCAATTATAAAGATTTGTTGAATATTTGTTGAGCTCTTTTTACTGTATTGTGCACATTATGTGTTTCTTGATATTTGTGAGGGAATCATTCAAATTAGCAAGCCCATGATTAAAAAAAGAGATAAAAAAAAATGTTCCCAAGGAAATTGACACACAAATAGATATCTGTGCATGTGTTTATGCAGATGCTAAGGCATGACAGTTATCTGGAGTCGTGTTCTTAATTATCTACTTAACTTTGAAAATGTAGATGAACTTTTGGCAAACTTTTATCAAACTTGTTAGGAAGTGGATGAATAATAATGATTTCCATTGTTTGTTTATATTTGTTTAGTGAAATGGCTTGATAGATTGATTTAGGATGGTGTGGTGGACATAACATGAGCTGATGATGGACTTTAGGGCATAGGTTAAGGTGTAAAGTAAAATAGGTTCAGGAATGAGCTAGGGTTTTTTTTAACTGGGATTCATTGCAAAATAACGATGGGAATTGAATGAAGGGGTTTCTTGAAATGTGGTGGGGCAGTGAAGAAGTTAAGATTTAATTGATAATATTGAAGTTAATTGAGAAGTGGTAAAGGTTGATGGTTCAGGGGTTTTAGGCTTTCGGATGGCATAGGCACGACTGGGTTTATAGAGCTTGAGTATTGAAGTTGAAGGGCTGAAATGGTTTGGATGCGGTACTGTAGTGGTACTTGAAAAAGAAGAAATAGGAGGAGAAAGTGTGTACAGACACCGAAGGGTCTCAGAGAATGCGACACAAATTCTGTTAGGTTGCTTTTGGATTAATGGGGAGTAAAAATGAAAATATTCCAACTTGGTATTTTATTTTAAATTACTTGGTCTTTTAATATGGGTTTTCCTGGTTGGGTAGATTCATAAATGAAATCACGAATGTGGATAAAGGCTTATTTAAACATGAATTTAAAATACCCACTAGACGATGTAATCTTACAGAACTTGACTCAGAAACTGTTAGTTTCCTTTGGGATTTGTATGGAGGTTAAAAATGTGAATGTGGATGAATATTTCTTTGAGAATGATTTGAAATACCTACTGGAAGGTGTAGTTTGAAATTTGTTTTCTCGAATTTTGTAATGTTTGAATTCCAAAATAAAACAGTTACCAGAAATATTTTTCTTACCAGGACATGTTTCCTTTCACCAATATACAGAGATAGCTTAATTGTTTCCTTACATTAACTGTTGCTTCTGTTTTTCCTCAGCACGAGAGCATGGGACCTAAAGGAGGTTTCAGTTATTTTGTTTTCAAACAACTGCATGCAAAGAGGCAATTTTCCAAGCTTCTGAGGCTTGGAGAGGAATTCCAGGAAGAGTTATCCATTTTTCTAAAACATCATCAGGATCTGCTTTGGCTTCATGAGTTATTTCTTCATCAGTTTTCCTCGGCTTCTGAAACTCTTCATGTTTTGGCTGTTTCCCAAGATGAGTTCTCTATTTCAGAAGGTGAAGAGGGTGCAGAGCCTGAGCATACCAACTTGATGACAACACTAGCAGACAGAAAGCGTTTTTTAAATCTCTCAAAGATTGCTGCCATGGCAGGTATAATTTACTCTGTGTTGCTCGTCACATCTCTTTTGGATGGGTATGTTTAAGTATATGGGGGTCTGTTAAAATTTCAATGAGATCAGATAGAGTTATCTTACAAAAAGCAAATTCAATCCAACAACTATTTTAGAGTCATTTCTAAAAAAAAGTTGGAGTCATGATGTCTGATAATAAAAAATTCTGGCAAATACCTGTTCTGACAATCCCTACAAACCAGTTGGAGCTTGAGGAGGAATGCAGATCCATGAAATCAAATCAAAACTGAGAGTCAAACTGAAATTTTTGGTCAACCAAACATATTGACGAAGTTTAGTTAGTAATATGATGTGTTTACCGTTTCTAACCCATAATTTAATAGATGGTCGTTAACCAACTGAATCGATGCATGCATGTAAGAGACCATTTTATAACAATTGGCAAAAAAGTACTTATTGTTATTCAACATAATGATAGTTTAGACGACAGTCCCTTTCAATATTTTCAAGTCGGTGCCAGATATCAGCTGGATTTAATTGGTATGGAGTATTGGGCCCTAAGGTTGTAATCAAGCTGGGTTGAGTGGATATTATGTAGAGCTCAAGCTTGACTCAAATAGAAAACTCAAGGCTTGAAACTTGACTCGAGCTCAATTAGTTTTTAGTTTTCATGCTTGAGTTCAACTCAGTGAATTCTTAGAATACCTATGCATGTCTTGGCTCAACTTGGTTAACACAGAAAACTAAATAAACTTATATATATAAACTTGGCTGAGTTCAAAATTATAAATAATATATATTTAGAATTATATTAAAATTTACTACTCAATTAGGGGACAGCCCCTACTAAAGTTTTAATAAATTAAGAATAAAAAATCAATTTATAAATTTGTGAACTGGCCAATAAGATTAACTGAGCGAATATTAATCAGTAGATGCTCCCAAACTTTTATCAAAATATAAAAGAAGTGATCTGTTTGGCTTTTAGGAAGGCCATATGGTTCAGTTAATTGAACTATGATCACCTCGAGCTTATGTGAGTTGCCTTTTCATAAAGGCATCCGATTTCTTCAGATTATTTGTAGATTTATTCACTATTGAAGGGTGTGGTCATTTTGCATATCCTTGTCAATTTTATATGAAAAAAAAGTAAATATGCCTTGTATCTCATCAAGTCAAGTAATCTAAGTTGTTTTTTCTTTTTCCTTTTTTTTTCGGGGAGGTTGCACGATTTTGAGTGCCATTCTTGAGGATCTGACCAAACCCCTTGTAGTATCGGTTTTCTTGCTAATTTCAAGTTGCAATGCTGATGCCGGAGACTGAAGATGTTGAAGATCATGTGACCCTTTCAATTGTTTAACCTTGTGCTATACCATAAATGGATATCCACATTCTGTGGAGGGAGATCCATGATTGAGAAATGGACTCAATTAGATTAAACCTCTATCTCAATCCTATCGCCAATGCCTATTCTTTCTTTCACTTGGTGAGGTTTATCTTGTGTTTTCTTCTCTTGTAGCTAAGCTATTATTGAACTTCTGTAGTAGTGCCCCCAAATGGTATACAATATCCTATTTGGACAAGTCTCATATGGATGTAACAATGTTTTATGCTGATTATCACCTAGTTTACTGTTCCATTTTTTCTTGGCTTGGGACCAACTATGGGTAACCATTATCGAGCAGAGTTAGTTCTTTTATATTCTTCTGTTTTATGTTTGATTTCTTTTCTTGAACTACATAAGCAGATAACAATGTTGATTCTGAGACAAAGGTTAAGCGCATTGATGCAGATTTGAAGATCTTGAAATTGCAGGTATATTCTGTTTCTAAGAACATTGCTGTGTTCCTCTGGTTGAACTGTCTTCCTAAGTATTGCTTGTATTTTGATAAACATAGTCCTAACAGACAAGTGTGTAACTTTGATCTTTTACTAGTCATTGCCTTCATGCTGTATGTTATTCACTTCTGAAGTTATTCTCATGTTTGTATTTCTTTGGAGTCCATATGACATTGTTAGGACGTAAAGGATTCACTATTAACAGTTTATGCCTCAAATCATTTTGATCATAGTAGTGTGGATCATGCTGGAATTTCATTCTCCCATATCCCACCTGCATGACTTCATAAAACATTTTTTATTTACTAGCAAGAACCACATGATTTCATGTATATTGACAATTAATTAAAATGTGAGTATATATGCTCATTTTCAACGTGGTGATTTTCATTTGGTGCTCAAGCGACCTCGGGTTATCATTAGCATTTAGCAATATACTGGATTTTGACAGTCCTTCCTCTCTGCACTGAGTGTTTGATATGTTTTTCTCTAAATCCATTTTCTTCATTCTTCAATCTGATGAAGCCACAAAGTTTATTGTGAACTTGAGCTACTTGCCTTTTTCTGTTAAGTCAAATACAGCCCAATTACAACATACAGGAAGAAGCATAGCTATTCTCTACAAATAATTATAATTCTGCATGAAAGCTTCCAATGTTTAGTTTCTGCCCACTTGCAGGAAGAAATCATGAAAGTACTTCAGGCTAATGGAGCAGAGATGGATAATGAACAGCGTCTGTTGCGTCCTGAGGAGCTCATAGAACAATGCCTGAAAGCAGAAAGCCCAGAGCTTGCATTGCGAGCTTTTGATGTGTTTGCATGGACCAGCTCCTCATTTCGTAGGAGCCACCGAAACCTTCTGGAGGAGTGTTGGAAGAATGCTGCTGATCAGGACGACTGGGGGAAACTTTATCAAGCATCTATTGATGAAGGATGGAGTGACGAGGAAACACTGCAGCAACTGAGAGACACAGTGCTTTTCCAGGCATCGAGTAGATGTTATGGTCCTCAAGCAGAAACTGTAGGAGAAGGTTTTGATGAAGTGTTGCCACTGAGGAAAGATAACTCAGAGGTTTCACCATCTAAGGATTTGGAATTTTCTGTAGAAACAATTTTGATGCAGCACAATGATTTCCCTGATGCTGGGAAGCTAATGCTGACTGCCATAATGTTAGGTAGTTTACAGGATGATACAAAAGCAGAAGACGGTCCTTCTCCAATGGAATGATAGTAAACGCTAATCAATTTTCTTCAACCATTCTCTTATTCTTGTACAACTCTTAGTGATTTGTAGCACATAGCATAGCGTATTTCTACGTGCAGCAAGGTTTTTAATTGCAGTTGAAGAATGCACATGGATGTGATGGAGGCATGTCGGTTTAGAAAATATTCCGGTAATAGGCTGGGTCATTTTATCACTGACGCAGCGATGCACTGTTATAATTGTGTTGCACTACAAGTGATAATTTCTCATTGTCCAAAGTGGAATGTTGAGGCTCTCCTACAATTTATAGCATGTCTTTGTTGCAAATGGAACTAACAGCAGCAGATTTTAACACAGGATATGAAAGAAGCGAACTTTTGGTTTTATAGCCGACGGAGCCTGCAAAAAGAGTGAAATGCTTCTAAAACTAATTGGCAGGTGGTTTCGGATTTTACAACTGCATTTACCTATACTGTTACCAGACCTTTGATTGTTTAACCTAACGTGGCAGGGGTGATCTGGATTTAGTGTTATCTCATCTCCTTTTGTTTTCCTTGAGGACTAAATTAACTTTATTATTTTCACATTAGTTTTATAGATAACACGATTTATCAAATTAAGTTGAATTTTTATAAAGGTGGTGTTCGTTATAGGTTTGAATTAAGTTGAATTTCGAGAGAGTATAATATTTTCTGGATATTGATAAACTTTGTAAATCCATATTTTTTTGATTCATTAATCATCGTAGTCACTACCACTAGTTACCATTTACCACCGACTACGACCACCGGCGGCATTCATAATTTACGTTTCTTTTTGCATTCTTTTCATATTTAATAATAAAATTTTTAAATTATAACATTTCTATTATTATTAATATTTTTTACGGTCCTATGAGATAAAGACTTTAATATTTTTAGCTAATTTTTAATATTACAATCAAACAATAGAAAATAACTCATTTGAAAAATATTTTTCATGAAAATATTTTTCAGCAAGTTACTTTACGGAAACAAATGGAGCATAAATTAAAAATAATAAACTCATCTTCTTAGCTAAACTAATAACAATAAATATAAATATTTCTTTTACAAATTAAAACAATTATTCAAACCATGAAATTACTTGATCGGGAAAAGAAAAAAAATTTGAGGAATTGTTAACCATAGATGTCTTTTGCTCAAGATATTAATTTTTATCACCCTTTAAAAATATATTTAACATAAAAAAATAAAAATTTGTACGATAAATTTAGGAGACGTAGAATTATATATATAGTACTCAAAAGGGAATAAAATGCTACATCAATATAGTGTGGTTATTAATTATTGAAAAACAATTAAGTGTTTGATTATTAATAAAAAAAAATCTATTTATTTGCATTATTAACTATAGATACAACAAGATGACAAATTATAATTTTGGGTCCTCGTCGTTGGTGTGCGTGTGCGCCTTTTTCTCTACCTTTCTCGACGCGTTCTTTGAATTACATTACTGCCGTTTAAGAAAAAAAACGCGTTAGCCTTTTATTTTTATTTTATTACATTTTTTATCCTGTAAAATTTTCTTTTTAACTTTTTTATTATTCTTTAATTAAATTCCTGCTAATATAGTACTTTTCTCACTTAACCTTTTTATAAGTTTTAATTATATTCCTATTTGATATTATTTTCTCACTTAATTCTTTTATTATTTTTTAATCATTATTTTATAAACTAAATTTTAATTATTCAGTTAAAATTTATCAAATTAAAAAATTTTAATTTATATAAGTAAAATTTGATGTGAGTTTCTCATTAATTTTTTGAATGTATAATTATAAATAAGTTGAATAGTTTATTTTGTGTAAACAATCGGTATCCGAACTCTATTAATATTATAAACTTAAATAATTGTCCATCAAATATTAACAATTAAATGTTGCTAATAATTTTTTTAAGCAAATTAAAAATTAATATTATAAACTTATATAAAGCTCTACTAATATTATTCTAAAAAAAATAATATTTTTATTCTTTTGTTAATTCAATCAATAAAATAATAATATTTGATAACTTATTTAAACCCAAAAATAATATCTATAAAAGTTTACATCTTTATGGCATGTTGTATCTGAATTGATTCAAATTAAAATTTCAACGATAAAAAATGAATATTAAAAATACATTCATATTAAAATTTTTTAATTAAGATATTAAATATTAAATATTAATTTTTATTCAAAATAATGAGTTATAAAATTATAATGAGTAAATTACTTAAAGATAAATAGATACAAAAGTTGGATGTACATGCCACTTAGTATATATACATATAAAAAAAACAAATAATGTTCCGCATTATCTATTTCATGTATTTATTTTCAACTAATTATGAATATAATTTTCCATTGATGTTTATTTAAATAATAAATTAATAAATTAATTTGATTAATAAATATTTTTAGTTGTTAATATTATTTTTCAAATTATTTTAGAATTATTATGGATTGACAATAAAATTATATTGTTAAGAGATTTATAATGAAATTGTGTTAACTAAGACAAAAACGAACTTATACGAACCTTCAATCTTATTTGATTGAAAAACATATTTGTATTTATATGTTGACAACTTGACAAAACCCTATTGGATGACATTATCAAACTGTATGGATACAATTATGATTTCTTATATAATTACATGCACGTGATAATGATGACATAGTATTTATATTGTTGTCTACAGTTAAATTATTATGTACAAAGTCAATAAATCTAAAGAATCAAATATGAACTTTTATTATAAAATATCATATTTTATTATATTATGACACAACTTTAAAATTATATTTATTAATATACAATTTATGATATTTAATCGACGTATCGCGTCGAGTTACATGCTCGTTTATATATCTAAGCAGCGTGTAACATTACTATTGTCATAATAGTAATCTTACAATTTAACCATTTTACTTTTATTAATTACATTTCTATCCGAAGATGTTTTCCCTTTTAAATTATTTTATTATTCTTTAACTACATTCTTACCATAATAATATTTTTCTCACTTAACCCCTATATTGCTCTTTAATTAAATTTATGTCCAATATTATTTTCCCACTTAACTCTTTTATTATTCTTTAGTTACATTATTGTCATAACTTAAATTTTATTATCCATTTAAAATTTATTAAATTAATTTTTTTAATTTATTTAAGTAAAGCTTAATATGAGTTTTCCATTGCATTTTTAAATGCATAATTATAAATATGTTAAATAGTAAATTTTATAATATACATAATTGATGCATGTACCATTGATTTAAATATAAAAAATTATTAATAGTTAGCTTTTTTTTTTTTTTTTAATTTGATTTGTTTTCATGCTTTTTCATTTTTTTTAAAACCCAATTATATCTTCTCTTATAATATAAAATCATTGAAATTTGAAATTTTTGATAATTCAAGTACATGCATATTATTATTAACATTAAGTATATATGCATTTATAATATACAGTTATCCATAAAATACTAATTATTAAATGTTGATAATAATTTTTCAATCAAATTACATATTAATATTTCAAACTTATGTAAAGCTTTACTGATACCATTTTTAAACAATATTTTTTATTTGTATTAGTTCAATCATTAAAATAATAATATTTGACATCCTATTTAAACACAAAACAATAATATCTATATAAATTTAATTTTTTTACCTAGATTGACAAAAAAATTAATAAAAAGTAAATTTTGATTTCATTTATGAAAATTGTTTATTCTCATTTGAGAAATATTATATATCTAATAGATTCAAATTACAATACTTTTTTTTTCTTTTGTGTACAATAATATTAAAAGACTTTAATTGAGATGCTAAATAGATAAAATATTAATTTTTACGAGAATAATGAGTCGTGAAATTATAATGAATAAGTTATTTAAAGCTAATAGATATAATACTAATTTTAACCTTTACTATATATATAGATGTATATATCACTTAATATATATGTAAAAAAAAGTTCTTTATTATCTATAGCATTTCATGTATTTATTTTTCAATTATTATGAATATAATTTTTTAATATTATTTAAACTATAAATTAATGATGAAATTAATTTCATTAGTAATCAATTTACTTGGTATTGTTATTTTTTAAAACATTTTAAAATTATTATAGATTGACAATAACATTGTATTGTTAAAAATATTTATAACAACATTGTGTTAACTAAAGTAAAAAACACATAAATGGATTTCTAACCAAAATATATTTTGTGGCAACAAATATCTTGAAGAAATAGGATTACCAAGCTGTATAGATATTATTATGGCTTCTTATATAATTTTGTCAATATACTATTCATAAGGAAAAATTATATTAGGATTCTTATGATTTGTGAAATACAACTAGTCCACATCTTTTAGGAATTAGACTAAAATATCACTATAATTTACTTCTGTCAAAATATAAAGTCATTCTGTCTAATTTTTGCATCTTTTACGTTAAGTACCTTATGAAATAACCAAAATACCCTTTTGTATTTAAAAATATATGGACGAACTAGTTATATTTTTTAAACTATAGAGATTGCACTATAATTTTTCTGATATAACATTTTAATACATCTCATTTGACTTTGTGTTTTCTTATTGACTTAACGGAAAAGATCGAAAAATTGGACAAAAGTACCTAATAGTGTAATAGAAGTAAAATACAGAGATATTTGTTGATGTCTTATATCGAAAAAGGTATTAAAGTATTAAATAATTGTTCAACTAAATAAAAATATGCAAGAGTTTGAATAGAATCTAATGAAAATCTAAAAACTAAAAGTACAACTCGATTAAATTTAAGAGCTAGTTTGATATATTGAGGTTTTAATCATAATAAAATAATATTTCTTTTATTCTAATTTTGATTTAGGATAAAATTGCAACTAAACTTCCAAAGTAAGCTAAAATAATAAAATAAAATAAAAATATAAGAGAGTTGCAAATTAAGTAGAATGTAAAGTGCCAATTAGTCAACCAATTCAACTAAACCCAAGACTTCCTCTTTAATTATTATTTTTATTCTCAATCTCTAGAGGAGAAAAATGAATTTTTCTAATTTTGATTTAGGGATAAAATTTGCAACTAAAACTTTCAAATTAAGCTAAATAATAAAATAAAAATAAAATTATAAGAGGAGTTGTATAAGAGAGTTGCAAATTAAGTAGAATGTAAAGTGCCAATTAGTCAACCAATTCAACTAAACCCAAGACTTCCTCTTTAATTATTATTTTTATTCTCAATCTCTAGAGGAGAAAAATGAATGCATGTCAACATTAAAAAGAAAAACTTCCAGAAACGTGAGGCTACAACTGAAACTCTTACCAAATTTATTAATTGTAAAGGAACTATACAATCCCTCTTACGGCTTGCTACCTCCTTTCAACGTCACTCTTTCTTGTTACACTAAAAAGACCATATCTTGTGTACCCTAAATAAAAAAAAATAAAAATAAATAAAAAGAAAAAATCCCTACGCTTGTAAGTGCAAATTTCAGTTATGCGTCTGTTTCAGTTATATATTTATTTATTTGAGTTAGAGACACGACAAATTTCTTTATAAGATTTATGGTTATGATAATAAATGTAGT